TCATTACCCTAAAGAAAAGATTAAAACAGTCCCTTTCAGTCTTGAATCCCGAGGCATTTTTTTTCTTTCTTTCCAAGTGTTTAAAAGGCATGTTCTCCAGAGCAAACCTGTCTCATCAACATTAAATACCTGCTCAGGTTTTTAGCCAAACCCCCAGAGATAATATTTGCTGGCTAGGGTTGGGGGGGTTTGCTGCAGCAGTATGGTCGGAAAGGTAAAAATATTTTAAAATCAAGATGAACAATAAATTTTTAAATTATGTGAGCCCCAAAAACATTTATACTAAAAAAGGAAAAATTTTTTTTTTTTGAAAAAAAAAAAAAAAATTTATTCTTTGTTATTTTTTAAACCCGTTGGGGGAAAAATTAAACCTGTCGCATATTGGGGGGTTGATTGTAAAAAAGTTTTCATGTGTAATGAAGAGAGGGAAACATAAAAATTCTGAAAACAAATATAAACATTTTTAAAACAGTAAAATTTCAAAATTTTAAAAAAAACCAACAGCATGATACATTATGCTTTCAGAGATATTGTCTGGTAAATTTGGGGGGGGGGGGGTGGTTAATTTTCCCTTCAACCTTTTCCCCTAAAAATTTTTGGGAAGGGTTATTAAAAAAAGAAGTACTATATTATAGTATTTGGGAACCACTGGAAAACTGTGCATATCAGTTTTGTAAAAAATTTTTGAACTGGGCCCTTTTAGCGTTTTGGCCCAACCCTGATGTATCATTGGGTTGAAAGGGCAAAGACTGAAAATTTTCTAACCTGCCCTATCTCGCTGGGATCCTTTCCCACTATCGAGTGACAACGAAAATCTCGAACAAAAAACCTGGCAGCGACCAAGTTTCCGCCCGAAGCATTTAATACCCCAACCCCTGGGTTGAAAACTCTTTGCTGCTTTTTAGGGGGTGAGGGGGGGGGTACTTCCTGCCAAGAAATGTGGGTAGCAAATTGAATTTAATTTAATGGGGTTTAAAAATTTTTTTTCAAAAGGGTATAAACAGATGGGATTTAAAAACTATAAAAAAAGTTTGGTTCTTATATTTCCCCAAAAAAAGTTTAAAAAATTTTACGTTGATGTGCTACAAATCTGGGAAAATAGATCTACGTCCAATTTTACATGCTTTTTTATGTAAAAAAAATGTAGTTACGATCGGGGGCGCAAAGCACGTCAACGTAGATCTACAAATTTGGGCAGTTTAAGGGTTTAAAAAATTTTGGGCAAACCTCTTTTTTTGTCATTTTCAGAGGATCACAGTCATCCTACTGACTGGTCTTCCCGCTAAAAAAATGTCCCACCCCATGTCTTAAATTTCCCCAGTGGCCATTTGGTTAATCCTCCCTTATACACAACTTTTTCCCTTTTATAATCTTAGTTCTGGCTTTGTCTCTGTAAAATGCCTTCCTTTTTCCCCTACAAATTTAAAATCCTCCAAACTTCAGAAAAACACGTACTTTAAACCCGATGCTTTTTTCCCCCTTACTCTTCCCCTTTCCCCCTTTTTTCCCTTTTGGGGTTTTATTTTTCTTTCCTTTTGGGGATTTGGTTCATTAATATTTTTTTCCCCCCCCCTCTGTGTTCTTGCTCCTACCCCTTTTTGGGGCCCCCAGGGTTCCCCTTTCTGGTTTTTCTTTTTAATTTTGACTTTACTCCCCTATACTACTACTATACTTTCCCCCTTTACCATACTTTTTCTTCATTTCCTACTACCTCCCTTGTCCCGTCCCTATTGTGGGCCCATATTACTCCCCTCCTCCCTTTTTGTTATTTTGGGCCTTTTTTAAATGGTCCAATTGGACCAAAACGTCGTTGTAAGCTCCTCTCTCCTTTTGTGCGAGTTTTCTGTGCATTAGTCAAACCTTTTTGATCCCCAATGATTACCTTCAATAAAAGCCCCAAAGAACAGTAAATTTGGAAATGGGGGAAATTTATGGAAAAAGCCCGAGGAAGCCCGCAGAAAACCCCTACTTTAAAGATCAAATTTTTGCAATTTAAAAAATATTTAAAGAAATTAGGTTCCCTCTACTTTTAATTAAAAGGTTTTAGGTTTTTTGTTGTTTGAGAATTGGGGGTGTCGCCCTTCTGGGGGAAAAATTTTAAAATACAAACCACAGCAGTTAGGTTTTAAAGGGTCTCATAAGGGGTGAAAGCTCCTCTTTCCCGTAGATGACAAGGGTGCTGAAATTTATTGGTCACGCCCCGAAAAAATTTCACACTTCAATCTCTAAAAACTTTTGTTTAAAAAAAAGTTTCATATGGCCCCTGAGTAGAAACAATTTCTGAATTTTAATTTTTTTTAGAATGGGGGGAAATTGGGAATGGAGTCTAAATTTAACCGAAGATTGTGTGAAATCTTTGTGCACCTCCAGGATTTTTTAAAACACAATTTGAGAATAAGGTGAATAAAAAAAAAAATCTGCTTTGAAATTGGGTACGCAAGGCATGTTTTTTTGTTACAACCTGAAAAATTTATATGAGTCAAAAAGCTGCTACAGTATTAAAAGTATTGGGGAAACTGTTTTGAGAGAGATAATTTTGTAAAGGGAAAAAAAATAAAACATTTAAAACAAATTAAAAAATTTTACTGGCAGTGAGAAGGAACATCTGGTTTTATTAAAAAATTTACTGATGTTATGTAAAAAAAATATGCCCGCACAGCAATTTTATTATTTTTAACTTTCCCCAGGTTTTAAAGACGTTCTTTTTATTTGGGGGATGAAATAAAGAAGTAAGACAAAAAAACTACAATCATTCATTTTCCCTCACCTGGCAAAAAAATAGATCCTTTAGCCCCCCAAAGCCAAACCCCCAAAATTTTAGACGTAATTTTTTTCCCAGAAAAATACTCAACTAACGCTCTGAAAAAAAAAAAAACCTTTTCTAAAATCTGTTCTTTGTGCTTTCCCTTTTCAAAAACAATAAGCTGCCAGAGGTGGTTTAAAGGGAGCCAATAATTTTAAAAAAAATCAAAAATATAATTTTATCAAATATTCTTCTTCTTTTAACGTACCGCCATATCCCAAACCGGGGGCGGGGGGGGCCCCAAAAAAAAAAATGAAAGTTTCTCCCCTTTTAAATTTACTAAAACATATTTAAAAGGAGAAGGGGGAAATAGCCCCCTTTCTCCAGCATTTTTAAATCGCCCCCTTAGACACGCATGGTTTTCGGAGGGGAAAAAATTCTGTTTTCCCCTTCCCCCTGGAAAATAAGAGGAAATAGACAAGAAAAAGAACTAGAAAGAAAATAGAAGAAAAACCCGAGGGGTTTTGTATTATATATATGCCTTTTTTACATATAATATCCTACTACTTGTATATGATAAAAACAACCCCCGTCCCCCTTTGGGGAAAAATATATGGGGGGTGCCCCGGGTCTTTTCCACTGTTAAATTAATAAGCCCCCCACTTTTTTCCCCCTACATTTTCTTTTGTATTTCATATGGTTTTTCCCATACTTTAGTGTATCCCCCTGCTGTTTCCCCCTTTTATTAGTATTTCCCCTGCTGTTTCCCCCGCATTAGTAGTTAACCCCTGTTGTTTTTTCCTACATTATTTCAGTGGTACCCCCAGTTTTTAAAATGCTCCCCAAATTGAAACCAAATTTTTGTAAGTGTATTATTGTAAGTGCTTTTTTAAGGTTTTATTTTTGGGGGGGTTTAAAAAAGGACTAATTTAATTTACATTATTCCCTTTTGGGGAAAAAATTCGTTTAGTAACGGGACTCAAACAGCCTTCTGGAACAAGAAATTCGAAACTCAGGGTACCACTGTATATCCCCTGTTTTTTTTTCTCCTATATTAGTATAACCATTCTGTTTCCCCCACAAAAACTCTATCCCCTGCTGGGTTTTCCCCATAGTGCTTTTTAGCATATCCCCGCGTTTCCCTTTCATTAGATATTCCCCCGAAAGGACTGACGAACAAGGAACCCTTGTACAACATCGCAATTCAACAACCTTTTTAGTTAACTACAGAAACTCAAGACTTATAGCCACAGAAGACAACACTCAATACAGAAGAATCCTGGAATCATCGCTCATCTCTACAACCAACAATTTCAACCAAACAATGGCTTCTATAACATAGCTGAACCACTCGCCAAGAAACTTCTTCATCGCTATCCCACATAAGAACATAGAACACTGCAGAAGGTCTACTCAAAACTTGTCCAATACCCCTGCCAAGCTACCCAAGACTCTATAACCCCACCCGGTAGATCATCAGCTGCAGCATTCTCCACCTGACCTCAACATGACTATAAATACTCTCGTACCTTCCAACCCCAGGTAGATCCGTGTGTGACTTGAGAAAGCCCACTGTGTGGGTGAAACGTTGTCAATAAAGATCACATTATACTGCATTTGTGTTTATATTTCCATTGTGTCGGTATTTTATACCATTTATTTCCACCCAGGGAGGTACTACCGTCCTGCCAAGTGAGTGTACAACGAAAGCCTGTAATTGTTTTACATGATGGTAGGATTGCTGGTGTCCATTTTTCTGTCTCATAAACATGCAAGGTTTCAGGTACATCTTGCTACTTCTACTTACACTTAGGTCACACTACACATACATGTACAAGCATATATATACACACCCCTCTGGGTTTTCTTCTATTTTCTTACTAGTTCTTGTTCTTGTTTATTTCCTCTTACCTCCATGGGGAAGCGGAACAGAATTCTTCGTCTGTAAGCCATGCGTGTTGTAAGAGGCGACTAAAATGCCAGGAGCAAGGGGCTAGTAACCCCTTCTCCTGTATATATTACTAAATGTAAAAGGAGAAACTTTCATTTTTCCTTTTGGGCCACCCCGCCTCGGTGGGATACGGCCGGTGTGTTGAAAGAAAGGAAAGAATACCCAATATTCAAAATGCAATGATCTCAAGCTGATAACTTAGTAGAAATATAAGGGCACTTACTGCAGAGATTCTATAATATTTTTTTTCAAGTTTTATATTTAAAAAATGCAAACTTTTTTTTACAAAAGAATTAACTACAGTACCTTATACCTTCCTCTGGCAATAAAGGAAGAGTTGCTCTCAAATATTTTGCACAATAATCTGATATAATTTTTTCACCAACTGCTGCCAATTCAGTGTTGCTTTTCATTTCAAGAGCAGGAATAGTGACACCAAGTGCCTGCTGACGACTAGTCTCCTGAGCAATATAAGAGGAGTCAGTCAAGGCCTCCCTCAACAGAGAGTTGTCAAATTCTTCATGCAGTCTCTTGCCAAATGCAAACAGTTCAGCTTCATAATTCCTGTTAATAAAATTTTAACATTAAAACTACTCTTTATCTGTTTATCATTACATTAATGATACACTTTTCTTTTTTAACATGCTGGCTGTCTCCCACTGAAGCAGGGTGACCCAAAATAACAGAACCACTTTCACCATCATTCACTTTATCAGATACATACGGTATATAATATATAATACTGACAAGGTGATGAATAGGACATGTGTAACACCTGGACATCTTTATTAATGGAGACATTCTACCAACCTATGGCTGTGTCAATCCAATGGAGAGAAAAAATACTGTAGACAGTGCAGGAAATGGAAAGGTAATCTGAGGTGACCAGGTAAGATTAGATGAACATAAGTAAGAATTGAGAGCATAAATTATGATACATCATTAGACTCTTCATTAAGGGTTACCCCAAATAACTATTCAATATTACAGTATTACTCTACTTCAGTAAGCAATTTCTGTTATTCAGCAAAGTGGTTCATGCATGTTTTTAATTTCATTCAACTCTTTAAGTAGTACTATAATTTTTTTTTTTTTATCACACTGGCCGATTCCCACCAAGGCAGGGTGGCCCGAAAAAGAAAAACTTTCACCATCATTCACTCCATCACTGTCTTGCCAGAAGGGTGCTTTACACTACAGTTTTTAAACTGCAACATTAACACCCCTCCTTCAGAATGCAGGCACTGTACTTCCCATCTCCACGACTCAAGTCCGGCCTGCCGGTTTCCCTGAACCCCTTCATAAATATTACTTTGCTCACACTCCAACAGCACATCAAGTATTAAAAACCATTTGTCTCCATTCACTCCTATCAAACACGCTCACTGCATGCCTGCTGGAAGTCCAAGCCCCTCGCACACAAAACCTCCTTTACCCCCTCCCTCCAACCTTTCCTAGCCGACCCCTACCCCGCCTTCCTTCCACTACAGACTGATACACTCTTGAAGTCACTCTGTTTTGCTCCATTCTCTCTACATGTCGAACCCACCTCAAAAACCCTTCCCTCACCCCTTGGACAACAGTTTTGGTAACCCCCGCCCCTCCTCCTAATTCCAAACTACGTTCTCGCTTTATTCACACCACACTTTTCCCTCAACATGAATCTCCACGCCCCAGCCTTCTCCTCGCTGCAACATTCATCACCCATGTTCACCCCCCATATAAAGCGTTGTAAAACTATACTCTCGTACATTCCCCTTTTGCCTCCAAGGGCAAATTTCTTTGTCTCCACAGACCCAAGTGCACCCTCCCCTTTTTGCCTCATCAATTCTAGATTCACCTCAATTTTATAGCCCCCATCCGCTGACACGTACTCCCAAAATTTGAATACATTCCCCCTCCATACTCTCTCCCCCCAATCTGTACCCAAATTTTTCACACTAATCTTTTGTTATCCCAAAACCTTACTCTTTCCTTATTCACTTTTAATTTTCTTCTTTTGCACACCCTACCAAATTAAATCCTTAATCTCTGCAACTTCTCTTCAATTTCCCCCAAAAAGGCACAGTGTCCAGAAAAAGAGCAACGTGACAACTCCCCTTTTTGGGTGATTTTTTTATTTTTTTAATCCACCCTTTTGCCAAGCCCTTTTGGCATTTACTTCTCTTACAACCCCATCTAAAATTTTAATTAAACAACCATGGTGAATCAACATTTTGTCTAGGGCCTATTTTTACTGGAAATTTTTCCCCTTTTTTCAAATCCCCTAATTTGACCTCACATCCTCGTAAAAACCTTCACTGCTTTAGTAACCTACCTCCACCCCATACCCTGCAACTCTCCCACTTTGCCCCCCATCCAGCCTTCTTAATTTTTTCCCAAAACCCAAAATCCCCAAAAAGCCCTTTTTAGCCTTATCTAAAAACTTTCACTTTATGTTTCACGTAAACACCTGGCCCAAAACCCCCCTACCTTTCCTAAAGCCCTCCTTTTTCACTCTATCCTTTTCCCCGTTTTTCCCTTTTAATTTTTCAAAAACAACTCTAAAAAACCTTTACCAGGTATATCAACGATTTATCCCCCTAAAATTTTTTGCACTCTTTTTTGCCCCTTTGCCTTTTACAAGGAAAATGCCCCTCTCTGCCAATCCCTGGGTACCTTACCCTTTTCAAAAATTTTAAAAATAATTGCACCAACCACCCCCAAAACTATTCCCCATTGTTTTTAAAACATTTCTACTTCCCATCAATCCGCTTTTTTAACCCCTTTTTCTTTTTCCCTACTGCCCCACAAAATTTCCCCCCCACACTCAAAACTGGCCTTCCTCACTCCTACAAATTTTTTTCCTCCTTGCCCATACACAAATCACAGCTTCCCTATCTTCATCAACTTTTTAAAAAATTCCTAAAAATATTCCCCCTTTCCCCCCAAACCCTCAAACTCTCCTTTTAAAAAACCTCCTCTCCTTTTTTTTAAACTGACAAATCCTTTTGTTCTCAGGCTCCTTAACTTGTTAATCTCACTCCAAAACTTTTTCTTATTTTCAACAAAATTGTTGATAACATCTCACCCACTCTGTCATTTGCTCTCTTTTTACATTGCTTCACCACTCTCTTAACCTCTCTCTTTTTCTCCATATACTCTTCCCTCCTTGCATCACTTCTACTTTGTAAAAACTTCTCATATGCTAACTTTTTCTCCCTTTACTACTCTCTTTACATCATCATTCCACCAATTGCTCCTCTTCCCTCCCGCACCCGCTTTCCTGTAACCACAAACTTCTGCTGAACACTCTAACACTACATTTTTAAACCTACCCCATACCTCTTCGACCCCATTGCCTATGCTCTCATTAGCCCATCTATCCTCCAATAGCTGTTTATATCTTACCCTAACTGCCTCCTCTTTAAGTTTATAAACCTTCACCTCTCTCTTCCCTGATGCTTCTTTTCTCCTTGTATCCCATCTACCTTTTACTCTCAGTGTAGCTACAACTAGAAAGTGATCTGATATATCTGTGGCCCCTCTATAAACATGCACATCCTGAAGTCTACTCAACAGTCTTTTATATACTAATACATAATCCAACAAACTACTGTCATTTTGCCCCACATCATATCTTGTATATTTATTTATCCTCTTTTTCTTAAAATATGTATTACCTATAACTAAACCCCTTTCTGTACAAAGTTCAATCAAAGGGCTCCCATTATCATTTACACCTGGCAACCCAAACTTACCTACCACACCCTCTCTAAAAGTTTCTCCTACTTTAGCATTCAGATCCCCTACCACAATTACTCTCTCACTTGGTTCAAAGGCTCCTGTACATTCACTTAACATCTCCCAAAATCTCTCTCTCTCCTCTACATTCCTCTCTTCTCCAGGTGCATACACGCTTATTATGACCCACTTTTCGCATCCAACCTTTACTTTAATCCACATAATTCTTGAATTTACACATTCATATTCTCTTTTCTCCTTCCATAACTGATCCTTCAACATTACTGCTACCCCTTCCTTTGCTCTAACTCTCTCAGATACTCCAGATTTAATCCCATTTATTTCCCCCCACCGAAACTCCCCTACCCCCTTCAGCTTTGTTTCGCTTAGGGCCAGGACATCCAACTTCTTTTCATTCATAAACTTCGCAATCATTCTGTTTCTTGTCATCCGCACTACATCCACGCACATTCAAGCATCCCACTTTTATAAAGTTTTTCTTCTTCTCTTTTTTAGTAAATGTCTACAGGAGAAGGGGTTACTAGCCCATTGCTCCCAGCATTTTAGTCGCCTCATACGACACGCATGGCTTACAGAGGAAAGATTCTTTTCCACTTCCCCATGGACAATAGAAGAAATAAAGAAGAACAAGAGCTATTTAGAAAAAGGAGAGAAACCTAGATGTGTATATATATATGCATGTGCGTGTCTGTGAAGTGTGACCAAAGTGTAAGTAGGAGTAGCAAGATATCCCTGTTATCTAGCGTGTTTATGAGACAGAAAAAGAAACCAGCAATCCTACCATCATGCAAAACAGTTACAGGTTTCTGTTTCACAGTCATCTGGCAGGACGGTAGTACTTCCCTGGGTGGTTGCTGTCTACCAACCTACTACCTATAAATATCATCATATATCCCCTTCTCCCTAAATAGAATTATTATCACATTCAATTTTTTCCATCTGCTACAATTACTGCACACACGCTTTTATTCATCAAATCCATAAACACAATTACTGCTAGAAATAATGAAAAAATTGAGAACTAAAATTATGCATAGTCTTTTTAGAATTTCTTTGAACTTAATTATGTAATACAGTTTTTCTATAGTACAGGGGCACAATTCCAAATTTTGGTCCAGTTATTTGCATGGAGTTTCTATTGACATTCATTTTATATATTAATAGTATACAAAACTGACAAGCAGATGAATAAAACATATGAGCAACACTTAGTACTGGATATTCTTATGGAAACTATTTTGCCAACCAGTGGCTTTACCATTCATTATGCAGAGAAAGATATGGAGATAGTGGAGACAGACAGAAGTTTGAGGTAATCAATCCTCAACCTTGTGAACCTGCTGGAGATAGTGGAAGTCAACTACTATCTCAGTCTTCCACTGTCCGATGATTTTCCATGGATGAGACTGATCACCTCAAACAAGCTTTTCCATTCTTCTACAGTCTCTGGATTGTTCTCTATATAAAATGGATAATTAAAGCCACTTGTGTGGCAAAACCCTCCACAGTAAAGACACCCAGGTGTTGCACATGTGTCTACACATCAAGAAAAATCATCTTGAACATGAGAATATCAGATTACAGAACTTGTTTCTAGTGTGAATTCCTGTGTATTATTACGCTCTGAGAAGTTTGAGGGTTGGATCAGTGAGAGCCTAAGAGAAAGAGGTGAAGGCAGGGAAACATTTCTAAAACAATCTTACTGTTGTTTTTTCTTTGAAAGGGGGCAGGGGCTATTGCAGGGAAGGGATACCTTGCTTAACTGCAGCAGTGATCAAAATACTGAATCGTATGCATGCATACTAAATCCAGTTTTCAAATGTATTATAGGAGGAAGTATGTCTTACAATCACTAAACATTTAAAAAATATAAACAGGTAAGATCAATTATTTAGAGGACACCACCAAAATAGTCCTACCCCTGCAACTACAAATGTGTAATTCCATGAATAGTTTACTTACCACTCAATAAATTCTGAGCGTCTAAATTTATGTGCAATCCCTTTCTTCTCCATCTGTTTCTGCCTCTTCCGTAATTCACGTCGCAATGGGGCATGCCAGCGAGATCTTATTCCCAAAGCGCATGCTGAAAAGTTAATTATTTTAAATTATAAATGTTGCTTTCCCTCTAAGAAGCAAATATCTTTCATACAGCACTTAAAATACGAAAATGCAAAAATGTAATAATACTGGCTAGGTTACCAATACAAACATATTCAACAGTAAACAGTCCTCACAATACATGAGGATTAAATGGAAATAGCTGCAGTTCTGTCCATACAGAATCTTAGGACTAGAAAAAGACTACCCTATGATGATTCACAAGTGTCTGACAGAGTGAATATGATAATGGGGACTGTCTAAATGATTTCCATTGTGGTCCTTTAATCTTCTTCCCCAGGATGCAACCAACAACAGTTGGCTTATACCCAGGTACTTACTTACTGCTAGGTATACCTTTGATATACCTTTGAAGAGTTTCGAGAGTTTATCTACTCTCTGAGCCTGGCCATAGGCCAGGCTTGTCTGGTGCTTGCCTGGTCAACCAGGATGTTGCTGCTGGAGGCCTGCTGTCCCACATATCCATCACAGCCTAGTTGATCTGGCACCTGGTCAAGATACTTGTCCAGTTTCCTCTTGAAGGCTTCTACACTTGTTCCAGCCATGTTTCTGATATCTTGTGGTAAGATGTTGAATAGTCTGGGACCCCGGATGAACAGAGGCAGCAAGTATAAGAAAATTTCCCCATCTATTTCTAGTTCTTAAGTAGTCTTTAAGCATTAGGATCAGTTTGCCTGAACTGCACCACATGCTAGTGGCTGTCTTTTGTGCCTAACAATATATCATACTTCAGAAGAGAAATAAAGTATTTGTATTTGTGTCATTTCACCCGTGCCGGAGATCAATCCCAGTTCCTCAGTGCATTTACCGAGGATGCTATCAACAGAGCCATGAGCACAGATCCAATTGGTAGTGGCCTCAACACACACACTTATGTGTACCTGTGCCTAAATAAACTTAATTAATTCTCAAGTGGAAACACTGGGTGTTTCCATATTATAATCATGGGGGAGCGCTAAACCCGTAGGATTATACAGCGCATGTGGGGGGAGGGATGGGAGGCATTCAGGCTCAATTCAGGGAACTAGATCACAGAACCAATTCCCTAGATCAAGAGCCCCTCACCAGCGTCAAGGAACCTCCCTTGATGGGTGGGCGTTTCCATAAACCTGCTGCCACTGTTCACCTAGGAGTAAGTAGACACCTGAGTATTACCAGGCTGGTGTGGGTCGCATCCTGGTGGAGATAATTAAAGGACCCCGACAGAAATAGACCCCACAGTTTGATGTCTGTGGTTTTATTGGGTTATTCTGGATTACTAACCCCGAACAAGATCGTCTCTCAGGCATCCGATAAGTTCTAGTATTACATTTATGGGAGAGCGCTAAATTCGTAGGGGCTATACAGCGCTTGAGGTAACGGAAGGCATTCAAGTTCGATCCATGAAGAGGAAATGGGTCGAATTCCTTGGATCAAGAGCCCCTCACCGGCATCGAGGAACATCCCTGGAGGAGCCCCTTTTTAATACTAACTTGGGTTAATAACAAAGTTTAAGCTCCGTTAATTATCTAAGAGATCGTGAAACATTCAAAATACTTAACCTGTTGAGCTAATATTCCGTTTTAAAGCAAAACCAGAAGAACATCGCACAAAATTAGCTGCGACCCGAGCAGTAGCAAACATTGCTCTTCTTGTTGGGTTTATCAGGGCCACTGACAGCTTACGCAGTATCGAGCCCGACTTCCCGATGTTATTAAGTAAGTTTATTCAGGTATACACAAATACAGTTACATAGAATTATCATACATAGCAGCATATGTGTAGAGAACCTAGGATAACCCAAAAAAGTCAGACAGAGTGACTTATTTCCATTGGGGTCCTTTTACCTTATTATTATAATACAAAGGTTATAATATTTTCTTATTATTCTATAATGAAGATAACATACTTCCTAGGTTTTCACTAAAACGGCTAATATTTGACTGTGGTACTCTGTAGATGTTTATCACTGTGAGAGGGTTTTTGTTTCAGGGTCCTGAAACAGAGACAGGCTGAGGCTGGGGATGGGATTGAGGAGAAATGGAAGGAAGGGGGGGGGGAGACTTTTGTGAGGAGTGAGGCTCTGGGTCAAGCAAGATGTTCATTTGGACTGGGAAGGGTACCGAACTTCGAGTCGATTTTGAAGCCGTGCCACCTTAACTTGAAGATACACGTCATGAACGAGGAGGAGCATGGGTAATAACTTCCGCAGCGGAAGACGGATCTAAAGACACCTTGAGATCATGCTACCTCTGAAGGAAGAGAGAGTTCCACAAGAGCCACAAAACAATTTGAAACAGGGACATTAGCCCTCACAGCCGCGGAGAGCAGGTGCCCTGGCCGCACTTGTGCCCTTAGTGGGGGGCGCTGAAGACGAAGGAGGTAAAGTCTGACCGACTGTGACTGGTTTCACGGACCGCAGGCTAGAGTTACATTACTCATTATTTGGCATACTCAGCCCCTGGCTGAGTATGCCAAATCAAAAGCCTGGTGCTATGCTGGACAAGACTGGAACATGAGTCACGTGATCTTGTGGGTCCCTTCACAAAAGTAGCATGAGGCCGGGCAGGTAGAGGCAACGCCGTCTTTGCTGGGTGAAACCCGCTACAATTTGCACACCTAACCTTATCACGGCAAGACAACTCTCCATGCCCAAAAAGGAAACATCTCTGACACCGAAGTAGAGGTAAAATATAAGGAAGGACAGGTAATCTTATACTGCCAAAAATTACAAATTTCGGGAGAGCACCTGAGAAACATATACGAACCATACGAGACGGGGCAGGACGAGTCGAAAGGCTCCAAACCTCTCGCAAAACTAAGTCGTCCCCCCCCCTCAAAACCAACTCAGAATGGATCTCCTCATCTGAGAAGGATGAGGAAATCTGTCTAATTCTGCTAAGCCAGCAGCAGCAAGGACTGAGGAGCGGACCTCCCAGCAGATTACATTCCAGACTCGACTCACAAAATCTTAATGACACAATTGCAAACAAACCATACCATGGACGGGGTTAGAACCCGCGATTAGAGAGTCTTAAAACTCCAAACCGACTCGTTAGCCACTGGGTCGAGTTGCTGGACACCCCCGTCTATGCAATACTTGCCGAAAGGAGAGCCAATGATGGCATTAATGACTTCCCGTGGATTGGTGAAGGGTATACCACCATCCTTGGGATGCACGAGAACCACCATCACATCTGGAGAAATTTGGGGTGGAGAAGGAGCACAATTTACCTGGAGAGAGTTCCGGGGGTCAACGATCCCCGCGGCCCGGTCTGCGACCAGGCCTCATGGTTGATCAGGACCTGATCAACCAAGCTGTTACTGCTGTCCGCACACACTCCATCGTACGAACCACAGCCCGGCTGGTCAGGTACCGACTTTAGGTGGCGGTGCTGGTGGTGGTGGTGCTGCTGCTGGTGGTGGTGTTGGTGGTGGTGCTGCTGCTGGTGGTGGCGGTGGTGTCACAACCTTTCCACCCAACAACAACACCAACAACGTTGTCACACTCGTGTATTGTAACAATGGCTGATCCACACGCTGTTTCGCCCTCTAGAAAGACAGCGACGACCAAGAGGAAGCTTGAGAGATATCCTGAGGACCGAAAAGATGTTAGTAAGTATCCCAGAGTATCTGCAAGTGAGTATCTCTGAAGCCTCGGGAACGGTTCCTTGATGTTTGGAGAGGGAAGCTCTTGATCCAAGGAACTGGACCTGCCCTTTCCTTTGACCTCGATTACAGCCCCTTCACCACATTCCCTAGACGCTGTATGACCCTTACCTGTGTGACCCTTACCTGTGTGACCCTTACCTGTGTGACCCTTACCTGTGTGACCCTTACCTGTGTGACCCTTACCTGTGTGACCCTTACCTGTGTGACCCTTAGGGGTTTAGCGCGCAATTTGATTATGCATGACCCCTACAGTTTATAAAATTCCCCATTTGAATTCTGAAGTACAACATTTATCATTATAGCTGCTTTTGAATATGTAATTTTATTGTGATTCAATACACAAGTTAAAATTTTAACCATTGTTGGATGTGCCCTGCAGCCTGGTGGCTAAAGCTATCACTTCACAAGGCAAGGGTCCGGGTTTGAATCTCAGCCAGGGTAGAAACATTGGGCTTGTTTCCTTACACCAGTTGTCTATGTTCAGCCATCAGTAAAATGGGTACCTGGATGTTAGTTGACTGGTGTGGGTCGCATCCTGGGACAAAACTGACCTAATTTGCCCGAAATGCTCTGCATAAAAAGCGGCTTTCTATATAGTAGTATGTCATTGATGTCAGCCTAGGACTGTATACCTTGTACATGTACTTGTAGTAAATAGATATTATTATTATTGTTATTATTATTATTATTATTATTATTATTATTATTATTATTATTATTATTATGTAATATCTCTCCATGGAAATAAGTCACTTTGCTCTCTCTCTCTTTTTAAGGTTGTCCTAGGTAATTTATACATATATTACTATGCAAGACAATTATAATCATATACAAACAGCCCGCACATAGGAGAAAGAAACTTATGATGACATTTCGGTCGGACTTTGACCATTAACTAGTCACTAATACTTGAAGGTAGGGGAGCCAAAGATTGTGTAATTGTGCCTGGATAAATTCCCTCACTCACAGCAGAGTCAAGTCCTGTGACTTATTTCCATTGGGGTTCTGTGTTACATAGGCATATATTCATGCCATTTTAGTCCTTGTCCTTATTAATATTAATAAGAAAAAGTTATCGTTTTTGTTTATGTCTGATGTTTCAATAGCCACACTGTTGATACAAATCTTATTAGCATCCATACTGATGTTCACACTACCACTAGTATGTTTCAACATGTATTAATTTCAAAATATTATAATTCACATACTAAATTGTTACAGTAATTAAATGTCAAAATGGCAAACAATAGCTTTCTAATAAACTATGTACTATATTTGTCATATTGTCTAGCAATTATAGGTTAATTTTAAGGCTGCTCATAATGCTCTCCAGAAGAAGTGACTTTCTATAAAGTAGTGTACATGTGCCAGTTACTCAAATATCATTTGTGTACAGTACTCCACTTTATAGAAATAATGTTTGTTGTTGTATTTAAAAATAAATGTCAATTACATGAATATTAGTTGTATGATTGTGTCACTTTGTCTATACGTAATTATTAACAATAAAAAACAATATAAAATGAAGATATTAGTTACGTGAATAGATTACAGCCTCTCCTCACTTAACGAATGTACCATTTTACCAACACCTCGGACTTTCGAAGGGCTCTCTGACCAGTATTCATATCTAAATAATGTATATTAGAGCTGATTTCCTCTATTCTGTTTATTTCAATATTCAGTACACTACTGTATAAACATTTAAAATATAACACATTTTAAATAAAACATTAAAACTATCAAAGATGGTTGACACTAACTCGTTACCATTATAGTGTGCTCCTTACTTAGCGAAGAATTCGTTTAATGACGTGGTCTTAGGAACAGAACTCCATTGTTAGGTGAGGAGAGGCTGTACATTCATTTACATAGTTTCCAGATCCATGAATATATCAGTTATATAGTTTTTAATTATCTACTTTTATCATTATTAATAATGAAAGCAAAATACAGTGGAACCTCGGTTTTCATATGCCCTAGTTTGTTCTGTATAAAATGTATTTTTTGTTAATATTTTTGGGTGTCTGGAACGGATTACGTAATTGGATTTACATTATTTCTTATGGGAAATATCAACAAAAAATACATTTTATAGAGAATAACTATAGTTTTACATACAAACTAGGTAATACAAAAACTGAGGTTCCACTGTAATAATATATAATGGATAAAGACAAATGCAGTATAATGCGATCCTTTATATATAATGTTTTGCCCACACAGTGGGCTTTATTGAGTCACAAACAGATCTACCTGGGAAGAGAGGATGTGTGTGTGTAATTCTCGCAATCATACTATATGCATCTTCATTCATACAGTCACTAAAGAACTAATACATATTTTTTTTACCTACAGAAAAAAAGTCTAGGCTCTGCCCTTATCTGGATACCATCAATCGTCACATGCTTGACTTTGATTTTGAAAAGTTATGCAGTGTGTCTCTTTCAAGAATTAATGTCTATGCCTGCCTAGTATGTGGGAAATACTTTCAAGGTATGCAAATTTATTACATTCGGTATTATATCGCAGTTGATAAGTTCATGTTTGCTTGGTCAAGGCTGTTATTTAAGAAAAAGACATACAATGTTTTTTGAGACAACATTTTGCTCTGTGTAGACGTTTATTTGATATACATACCAGCCAGTGGAGATCTCATGTCTGAGGGCAATGTATGGTATGAATATTATGCAGAGAATTCGTAGTTTGAAGATTAGGAGGTGCAGGGTTACCGAAAGCATTATCCAGCTGGCTGAGGAGGGTATATTGAAGTGGTTTAGAAATTTAGAGAGGATGGAGCAGAATAGGATGACTTGGAGGGTATATAATCTGTAGTGGAGGAAAAGAGGGTTAGGGGTCATCCTAGGAATGGTTGGAGGAAGGAGGATAAAGGAGGTTTTGTATGCGAGGTGCTGATAAGATTTTGTTTGGAGTTTTAACACAGAGAATTAGCAGGTTAGTCACCCAGGATAACCCAAGAAGGTAAATCTGTCATCAAGGACTCTGTCTGTCTTATTTCCATTGGGGTCCTTCAGTCTTGTCACCCAGGATGTGACCCACACCAGTCGGCTAACACCCAGGTACCTACTTATTTGCTAGGTGAATGAGGACAAGAGTTGCAAGCTGGAAGTGACTTAAAATATGCTTAGAGTGACAGGAATATTAGATTTTTGGTGATTTTTTCTGAGGAAGGCTAGGCACCCCCTAGTCCATTTTGTGGGTATTTGCTTGTTCTGCTTCAATTGCTGGAATAACCTAAACAATTACCAATCATTCTTGGTTATATTTTATTAGCAGAGAAATGGGGTAAAACTTTTTTTTTTTTTGTGATGTATTCAAAATGTAAAGAAGTTGTTACATAGGAGAAGTTGCTTTAGTGGCTGAAATGCCTACAGTGTTTGCCACTCTCTGTGCATTTTGTAGGATAGTTCTTGCTCTCAATTGATAGAACAGAAGGCATACTAGTTAAATAACTAGGAATTGGGTTGAATTCAAAAATGAAATTGGCTTAAAATAGACCCCAAAGTGGGCTTCAATTGCCTGCATAATTCTGTAAGTTTTCTGTCAAATTTTGTATTTTTGGTTCATTTCCTCCTGAAAATGATTCTCTACATTTTTTTTTTTAACTCACAACACTGTCAGCACTTTTAATTTTGCTGCAGTGAAAGGATTAATAAAAATACTGATGATGTGTGGGGATATTACCCTGGAATTTATTAGATAATAGTGATAAAGAATAAAGAGAGGAGGGAGATACTATAAGGGAGGGAGAATGTGTCAGCATTTATAGTCCAAAACTTCAAACTTCTATCAGAAGATACTGGATAACAAATATTGCTTGAATGAATATATAAGTTTTCAAAAAAAAAAAAAAAACTGGACTATTACCTCAAAGAAATGCTTCATCCAGACTTCAGTGGTTATGTGATGCCATTAACCCTGAAACTGTCCAAACGTAGATCTATGTTGATGTGCGTAGTGCTCCGAACGTAGATCTACGTCCAATTTTTCATGCTTTCAAATGGAGAAAATAAAGGTTGGAGTGCTACGCATGTCAACGTAGATCTATGTTTGGGCAGTTTAAGGGTTAAACTGGTACCAGCAACAGCCTGGTTGACGAGGTAATGAAGAGGGAAACCTGGTCACAGGTCAATCTGCATGGGTAGCAGAACCCTTGAAGCTGGTCACAGGTAAATTAGTTATGTGAATGAATTTAGTATGAGGAGTTCATTTTGAGGCTCTTAATGTATCTGCTAAAAATGTATTATTTAAAAATTTTAATTTAATTGAGTTTACTTCATTTACTGCTTCTAGTATGCCCAGTGATCCACCAGGTTTAGTGCTTTCCATGAATATAATAATAGTACATTGTATAATCATACTTGAAGTATAGTTTAATCTGCCCATCATTCATGTAGTTTACTGTTCTCTATGATTTTCTTCATTACTTCATATTTAGGAGTAGATTACTTCATATTTAGAAGTAGAATCAAGATGACTAATGTCATATTCAGCATTTATTCATTATTATTTTTATAAATATTCAGTATTCTCCAGTATTGATTTAATTCTTTCTTTGATTATTTTATTTTTTTATTAACACATGGACTGTTTCCCACCAAGGCAGGGTGGCCCAAAAAAGAAAAACTTTCATCATCATTCACTCCATCACTGTCTTGCCAGAGGCATGCTTACACTACAGTTATAAAACTACAACATTAACACCCCTTCTTCAGAGTGCCGGCATTGTACTTCCCATCTCCAGGAATCAAGTCCGGCCTGCCGGTTTCCCTGAATCTCTTCAGAGATGTTACCTTGCTTACACTCCAACAGCATGTCAAGTCCTAAAAACCATTTGTCTCCATTTGCTCCTATCTAACATGCTCACGCACGCTTGCTGGAAATCCAAGCCCCTCGCACACAAAACCTTCTTTACCCCCCTCCCTCCAACCTTTCCTAGGCCGACCCCTACCCCGCCTTCCCACCACTACAGATTTATACATTCGAAGTCATTCTATTTCTCTCCATCCTCTCTATATGTCCAAACCATCTCAATAACCACTCCTCAGCCCACACCTCCTCCTAATCTCCAAACTATGGATTCTCTGCATTATATTCACACCACACATCGCCCTCAGACATGACATCTCTACTGCCTCCAGCCTTCTACTTGTTGCAGCATTCACAACCCATGACTCACACCCATACAAGAGCATTGGTATAACTATACTCTCATACCTTCCTCTCTGCTTTATAATTATAATATTCTGCATATAATACATTACATAAAATGAATAAGAAACAAAAATACTAAAGCCAAGATAATCTTCTTCATTTATTATCTAAATGTTTCAGTCTCAAAATGCATTATCAGTCCAAAAATAAATGCCTAATAATGTTACATTATCTAATCTAACATTTCTACTAATACAATTTTATATTCACTCATGAAGGACATCATTTTGTTTAACAACTGTTTTGATGTAATACACCACAGGGTCTGGTCATGGGAGGTTCAGAAACTTTTTTTTTTCTATACAGGTCGTGGACCCAATACCCATGCCTACACCCACAGTGTATCGGATGGTCACCATGTGTACCTGAATTTGCAGACACTTCGCTTCTACTGCCTCCCAGATAATTATGAGATCATTGGTAACTATTTTACACTTTATGTTAATCTACTGATTTTAACGTGAAGGTACAGTATTAAGATATCTTGCACATTATTTAGAATACATATACATGTATATTCTCCATGGGGAAGTGGAACAGAATTCTTCCTCCGTAAGCCATGCGTGTTGTAAGAAGCAACTAAAATGCCGGGAGCAAGGGGCTAGTAACCCCTTCTCTTGTATATATTACTAAATGTAAAAGGAGAAGCTTTCGTTTTTCCTTTTGCGTCACCCCGCCTCGGTGGGAAATGGCCGGTGTGTTGAAAGAAAGAAGACACATGTATATATGTATATTTTCTCATTACTCTTTTAATGTTATTGTTACTCATTTTTCATTTCATGTTGCATTCTGTAATTGTATTTTGAATTACAGTGTTAAATAAAACTTAAAGTTCTGTAATAATTTTTTATATGCTAAAATTTCAAAAAAATATTTACCTTACTGCATTTGTAGAAAGCCTTCATGCAGTTTCTCTTTCTTCCAGATTCCTCGTTAAATGACATAATTTTCGTGGTGAATCCAACCTTTTCACGAGATTATATTGCTCATAAGGTGAACCAGAGCAAAATGAGTCGAGCATATGATGGCACTCTATACTTACCAGGCATAGTAGGTCTTAATAATATTAAGGCCAATGACTACTGCAATGTTGTCCTTCAGGTAAGAGCAGTATGTACATATGTGTTTTTATTTTATATTTTTTAAACACGCCAGCCATCTCCCACCGAGGGAGGGTGACCTGAAAAAGAAAAAAACAAAAGATTTTCTCTTGTCATTTAGTAATTTCCCAGGTAGTAGGTTGGTAGACAGCAACTGCCCAGGGAGGTACTTACCGTCCTACCAAATGAGTGTAAAACGAAAGCCTGTAATTGTTTTACATGATGGTAGGATTACTGGTGTCCTTTTTTCTGTCTCATAAACATGCAAGATTTCAGGTATGTCTTGCTACTTCTACTTACACTTAGGTCACACTACACATACATGTACAAGCATATACAGTGGACCCCCGAGTTTTGTGATTAATCCGTTCCAGAGAGCCTGCCGAAAGTCGAAATTCACGAAAATCGAAACCATTTTCCCCATAAGAAATAATGGAAATAAAATTAATCCGTTCCAGACACCGAAAAATATTAAAATGAAATATTTTTTTTTCAAATTAAATAAAGATTTATATACTGAAATCAATGACAAATCAAGTACATGCATATAAAAAATAATAATATTACACTTACCTTTACTGAAGACTTCTGGGTGGATGGGAGGAGGGGATAGGAGGAAGGTGTACACTATTGTTTGGAAGGAGAATCTTCTTCCATTAGGACTTTAGGTAGCAAGTCCTTATCTGGGGTTACTTCCCTTCTTCTTTTAATGCCATTGGGAACAACTTGAGAGTCACTGGATCCCTGTCGCACAAAATGTCTGTCCAGAGAGGTCTTTTTCTGGCATTTCTTTAAGATTTCCCTGAAGTGGGACATAACACTGTCATTGTACATGTTGCATATATGGCTTGTTTCAGCTTGGTCAGGGTGATACTTTTCAACAAAACTTTGCAACTCATTCCACATTCCACACATGTCCTTAATCACTGAAGAAGGAACCTCCTTCACTCTCTTTTCCTCCTCCTCTGAAGCAAGTTCCTCGGCTGTGGTCTGATGCTGTTCCAGTTGAAGCTCTTGCAGTTCATCAGTGGTTAGCTCTTCCCTGTGGTCCTCCACCAACTCTTCCACATCCCCGTCACTCACCTCCAACCCCATGGACTTGCCCAATGCCACAACACCTTCCACAACAGGCAGAGGGTCGGCAGGGACAGGGTCTGCCTTAAACCCTTCAAAGTCCCTCTGAATTGTGTTCCTCACTTTATTTACCAAAGGGGTTGCACTAGCTTTCCTTGGGTCCATGATGACTTATTTAGCAGTTGCAAGCACAAAAAACAATGGATTATTATGAAATGTATTGTATGAACCCGCGGGGTGATGGTCACGTGTTGGTAAACAATGGCACACTAAGCGTGAATGGCTTGGGAGACTGGCTTGGTGTGCGCGGTGATGGGCGGACGGGTACTGGACGATCGCTGAAACACGAGTCTAATCATGAAACTCGAGGCCAAATTTTGCCAAAAAAAAACTCGCCGAAGCTCGAATTTCACGAAAGTCGATGCTGCCAAAACTCGAGGGTCCACTGTATATACACACACCCCTCTGGGTTTTCTGCTATTTTCTTTCTAGTTCTTGTTCTTGTTTATTTCCTCTTACCTCCATGGGGAAATGGAACAGAATTCTTCCTCTGTAAGCCATGCATATTGTAAGAGGTGACTAAAATGCTGGGAGCAAGGGGCTAGAAACCCCTTCTCCTGTATAAATTACTAAATTTAAAAAAAGAGAAACTTTTGTTTTTCTTTTTGGGCCACCCTGCCTCGGTGGGATACGGCCGGTTTGTTGAAAGAAGAATTTAGTAATTTATACAGGAGAAGGGGTTGCTATCCCTTTCCTCCTGGCATTTAAGTTGTTTCTTACAACATCCACATCCATGGCTTATGGAGGAAAAGTTTATCTCCACTTCCCTGTACAAACACGCATGTGTGTGTGCATATATATACCTTTGTTTATTTATTTCCTTTTATTAATGTGGTTTATTTTGAATTGACATTTATTTTAATCACCACTGGTAGGCTAATGTGTTATAAATGATTTACTGTTTTGATGTTTAAATGCCAAGTAGCTCTTATTCTTGCTTTCAGGCTTTATCGAACATCACTCCTTTGCGGAACTACTTCCTGGACCCCAACAACTACAGTCACATCCATCATGCGCCAGGCACTCAAGGACTGGCAATGTTTCCACTTATCAACAGATTTGGGGAACTTGTACGCAAACTCTGGAATCCAAGGAATTTCAAAGCTCATGTATCTCCCCATGAAATGCTTCAGGTTAATAGTTGATTTCTACCCTCTTGATCTCTGGTATATCTATTTTGTATGGGTCAATGTGTCCATGTCTGTGCATGTATTTATCTGTAAATGATTTAGTGTAGTTATGATTTTCATTCTGTATATAATTTACCTGTGGTTTGGAGCATATATGTAATTCTGATTGGCCTCTGTGATTATATAATTTATAAAATTTTATATATAGTTTTTAAGTTTATGGGATTTATGCAGCATAATTGTTTCACATATTTTATCTTGAACATTATCTCTCATCAGTTATTTATACATTAATGTTCACTTTCTGTTCTAGGCAGTAGTATCATGCAGTAAGAAGAAGTTCCAGTTTACCATCCAGGGTGATGCCATACAAATTTTGTCTTGGGTACTGAATTCAATGCACTTAGGCCTGAAGACTCCCAAACGGAAAAATACCATCATTAATCGCTGCTTCCGTGGAACAATGAATATTTACTCTCAGAAGGTAGTTCATAAGTAATTAGATATTCCTGCTAGGGATACCAAATGGTTTTTACTGTGTTTTTATATTAGTATTCTCACTAAGGACATATGGCACCATACAGGTTTGCCACTGATTTTTTTTTTTCTATTTTTTTTTGCCTATTTCCAGATGATATTTTGGAGTGGTCCTAGGTAGTAGGTTGGTAGACAGCAACCGTCCAGGGAGATACTACCTTCTTGCCAAGTGAGTGTAAAATGAAAGCCTGTAATTGTTTTACATGATGGTAGGATTGCTGGTGTCTTTTTTCTGTCTCATAAACATGCAAGATTTCAGATACGTCTTGCTACTTCTACTTACACTTAGGTCACACTAAACATGCATGTATAAGCATATATATACACACCCCTCTGGGTTTTCTTCTATTTTCTTACTACGTCTTGTTCTTGTTTATTTCCTCTTATCTCCATGGGGAATTGGAGCAGAATTCTTCCTCTGTAAGCCTTGCGTGTCGTAAGAGGCGACTAAAATGCTGGGAGCAAGGGGCTAGTAACCCCTTTTCCTGTATACATTACGAAAGTTAAAAAGTGAAACTTCTGTTTTTCTTTTTGGGTCACCCTGCTTTGGTGGGATATGGCCAGTTTGTTGAAAGAAGATTTTGTAGTGGTAATCTAATTGTGATGTCAGCTCACTTCTGGAAAGATGGCAGTTGAGTGAATGTTGTTGAATGTGCTTTCTCTTTGGGTCACCCTGCCTTGGTGGGAGATGACCATTGAGTTAAAAAAAATCTTGAGAATGTCCTTATATTGGCTTGAATATTGCAGTACATTTGTTAAGGTATATGATTTATTATTTTTATCAAGATGTTTTAAGATTTTTACATTCTGCACATACTGGTAGTTTTCCTTTCACTACAGTACTTGTTTCATTAAGTGTGAGCATGTTGGAGCGAGTGTTTTTTGGGATTTGAGGTGCTGTTGGAGGGTGAGCATAGTAACATCAGTGAAGGGATCTAGGGAAACTTGTTAGCCATACTTGAATTCTATAGGTGGGAAGTACAGTGTCTGCACCCCTGAAAGCTGGGTGGAGAGGTTGTACTTTGGAGGGTCATTTGACCTAAGTTCATCTCTTTCTGGCAGGACTGCTATTGAATAAATGATGGTTAATGATTCCTTCTTTGGTGAGATATGAATAGTGGGGTAAAAAAAAATTTAAGTCATTAATTTAACTCTGTACTTTGTTGCATATCATTACTAGATCTTGCCTGTTGAAATTGATGAGAAAGAAAGAAATCGGCTCCTCCAGTCTGAAGAATACCAGGTGAAAATGGAGGAGAGCCCTTTTCTCTATCTCACTTGCGACTTACCGCAGCCACCGCTCTTCAAGGATGAAAAAAAAGAAAACATCATTCCACAAGTAAGGAAAACTGTAACCTAAAAATCATGGCCTTATGAAATATGTGTTGCCTTAAATGTAGCAGCATTAAGGGTTGCATCTTAGAATATGTAATTCCTTAAAAATATCAAGAAACCCAGTGAAAATTATTAAGGTTTCATTGTATTTATCAATCCTTTTTGCATGCATCAAGAAAAATATCGCTTACCATGAACAGTAACTTGTAAAAATCATTCTCTGGGAATTGAGGACATGCATTAGTATAGATTAGACATTTGGTGAATATCTTTAACAAAACATTTTAAGGCTTTGACCTGTATACATGTAACCCCTACTTACAAGCATCTAAAAGACATCATAAAATAATACCATTTGTTTTCCTGGATCAAATCTGATTTGCCTCCTATTCCATATCCTGGATATTGAATGACCCCCCATTTATAGAGTACTAAAGTACTCTGTAAATGTAATAATAATCATAGAATTATACAGGAATATATACTCAATCATAAAATCATACAGGAATATATACTCTTATAGGTGAGCTTGTATGTACTCCTTAGCAAGTTTGATGGGAAAAGTGGTAAGGAGTATCAGACCTACAAAGAGAGTATTCTTAAGAGATTCCAGCTTACAGGACTTCCTCCATATCTCATCTTATACCACAAAGTAAGTTTTTCAAAGACTGGATGCATTTTTTTTTTTTTTAACATGCTGGCTGTCTACCACTGAAGCAGGGTGACCCAAAAAAAAAGAAACACTTTTGTCATTCACACACATCACTGTCTTTGCAGAGATGCTCAGATACGACAGTTTAGATGTCACTCCAAACAGCCAGCATCACGGAACCCTCCTTTAAAGTGCAGGCATTGTACTTCCCATCTCCAGGACTGCTGTCTGCCCTGACTTGTACTCTGTTTATATATTAATAATTATGGTTTTAATTTACATACAGAGAAACAAAAGTTTGTACTGCACTAAAGTTCTTGATGGTTAATTACATGGTTTTCCTCTTGTGATTTAGTTTAGGATATTTGCAACTTGATTTCTCATCAAACACTTGCAAATTATCAACTTACTGGGATGATGTATTAAAAATGTAATATGATACAGGAAGTGCTGCCATAAGAATTATATTATTATTTTTTGTGAAGTGCCAAACCCATGTGGGCCACTTAGTGCAAGGAGTGATAAAGGCTTGATGTTCTGTTTGGTATTTGTGAAACAAGACTATCAAATTGTACTCGCTAACTAATTGGAAGATAACTGCAGATCCTGTACAGTGCAACTTTTCTTTTTTTATAAGTATTTTTTTGTATAATTATACAGATGCCATTAAAGATGGGGGGGGGGGTGTACTCAGTGGCACTACCCAAGGTAAGAGAAGTCTCATAGGTAATAAAGTATACCACATTAAAAACAAATATTGTAGAGATGTATACTGTATTTTAGGCAACAGTTAATTCTGGAAGGGCTTATAGATAAGGAGAGCTCATCCCTGTATTTTTGTAATCTAACCTCATACTGTTTTAAGAACTAAGTAATTTAGCTGCAAAAAAATTGTAAATCATTCAGGTTCCCATTTACTAAAAGATGAATTGTTACAAATGGGACAAGAGAGTTTTACAGAAGATGTATTATATTACCCTGACCAAGAATGTCACCCGATTGTCTTGCTTGCTATGTATCTCCCAGCACTGTATGTGGAATGAATAGCTAGGATTTAAGAAACTACTGAATGGATGTATTTTTAATTAGCTGTGAAATTTTATTTATAAATAGAAATTTATTAATTTTAATTATTACAGAGATTCACAAAGAATACATTCTACATTGAGAAAAACCCAACCATTGTTAACTTTCCGGTGAAGAATATCGACTTGTCGGAGTATTTAACTGAAGAGGTGAGTGCACATGCAATGTTGATTGAAGGAATAAGTGTACACTACATGATATTCTGTGAGGGGTAGTAAACCTGGTTTAGGAGTGTCTAACCTAGTCATCTTGGTGCTAAACATGTAGTAAATCTCTCCTTTTGTTTTTCCTTGGCATTCTTGAATATGAAAGAAATTACAGTTTGTATAATTTTTCAGTAAATTCTTAATCTGCTTTTCTTTAGTGAAAAAGAACAATAAATTGTGCACCATTACTTAATCAGAATAAATAACTGAGAACTGGGTATTGGAAGCTTATGAAATGTACAAATGTGAACAGTTTGTGAAGAATAGAACTGTGGGCTAAATTGAATTGAATTTTGTATGCACAGTCAAGTTGTTCAATACAATATGTATTGTATAAATGATCAACAATATTGGTGAAATAATGGAATGATCTTTATAAACCCATTTGTATGTGGGGGATTATAGCCTAGACTTTCCTAAAGAAATTGTACAATATGTATGTAAAATACTTGTGCAATAAATCTTTCTTCTCTTTCAACAAACCAGCCATATCCCACCGAAGTAGGGTGGCCCAAAAAGAAAAACATAAGTTTCTCTTTTTAACATTAGTAATGTATACAGGAGAAGGGGTTACTAGCTTTGCTCCTGGTATTTAAGTTGCCACCTACGACACGCATGACTTACGGAAGAAGAATTCTGTTCCATTTTCCAATGGAAATAAGAGGAAATAAATAAGAAAAGAACTAGTAAGAAAATAGAAGAAAACTCAGATGGGTGTGTGTATATATATGTTTGTACATGCATGTGTAGTGTGACCTAAGTGTAAGTAGAAGTAGCAAGATGTACCTGAAATCTTGCATGTATATGAGACAGAAAAAGACTAGCAATCCTACCATCATGTAAAACAATTACAGGCTTTCATTTTACGCTCACTTGGCAGGACAGTAGTACCTTTTTGGGCAGTTGCTGTCTACCAACCTACTACTTAGGTCAATAAATCATAATATATAATAAAATTTACATCAAAATTAAAAAAAAAAATATTGAATAGACATACCACTACTATGTACAGTGATAACTTATGCTTAACAGTGCAGTACTTGATAGTACATTTGAGATACTTCATAGTTAATGATTATAGTGAACATGAAAGATTTCTTCAGTTTTTAAAATTTTTTTTTTTTTTTTTTTAACAAGTCAGCCATCTCCCACCGAGGCAGTGTGACCCAAAAAAGAAAGAAAATCCCCAAAAAGAAAATACTTTCATCATCATTCAACACTTTCACCTCACTCACACATAATCACTGTTTTTGCAGAGGTGCTCAGAACACAACAGCTTAGAAGCATATACCTATAAATTACACAACATATCCCTCCAAACTGCTAATATCCCGAACCCCTCCTTTAGAGTGCAGGCATTGTGCTTCCCATTTCCAGGACTCGAGTCCGGCTATATAAAAATAACCGGTTTTCCTGAATCCCTTCACTAAATATTACCCTGCTCACACTCCAACAGATCGTCAGGTCCCAAATACCATTCGTCTCCATTCACTCCTATCTAACACGCTCATGCACGCTTGCTGGATGTCCAAGCCCCCCGCCCACAAAACCTCCTTTAAACCCCCCCCCTCCAAACCTTTTCGAGGACGACCCCTACCCCGCCTTCCTTCCCCTACAGATTTATACGCTCTCCCCTGTCATTTTACTTTGATTCCATGCTCTCTAAATGACCAAACACCTCAACAACCCCTCTTCAGCCCTCTGACTAATAAATTTTATTGACTCCACACCTTCTCCCAATTTTCACACTCCGAATTTTCTGCATAATATTTACACCACACATTGCCCTTGACAGGACATCTCCACTGCCTCCAACCGCCGTCTCGCTGCTGCATTCACAACCCAAGCTTCACACCCATATAAGAGTGTTGGTACTACTATACTTTCATACATTCCCTTCTTTGCCTCCATAGATAACATTTTTTGTCTCCACATATACCTCAACTCACCACTCACCTTTTTTCCTTCATCAGTTCTATGGTTAACCTCATCCTTCATAAACCAATCTGCTGACACATCAACTCCCAAATATCTGAAAACATTCACCTCTTCCATACTCTCTCTTTCCAATGTGATATCCAATTTTTCTTCATCTAAATCATTTGATACCCTCATCAGCTTACCTTTCTCTATGTTCACTTTCAACTTTCTGACTTAGCACACCCTCCCAAACTCGTCCACTAACCTTTGCAACTTTTCTTTAGAATCTCCCATAAGCACAGTATCACCAGCAAAAAGTAACTGTGTCTACTCCCATTTTGTATTTGATTCTCCATAATTTAAACCCACCCTTCTCCCCAGCACATCTCTAAATATATTAAACAACCATGGTGACATTACACATCCCTGTCTAAGATCTACTTTTACCAGGAAGTAATTTCTCTCTCTTCTTCACACCCTAACCTGAACCTCACTGTCCTCATAAAAACTCTTTGAAGCATTTAGTAACTTACTACCTATTCCATATACACTTGCAACATCTGCCACATTGCTCCCCTATCCACTCTATCATATGCCTTTTCTATATCCATAACTGCAATGAAAACTTCCCTACCTTTATCTAAATCCTGTTCACATATATGCTTCAATGTAAATACTTGATCTACACATCCCCTACCCACTCTAAAGCCTTCTTGCTCATCCGTAATCCTACTCTCTGTGTTACCCTTAGTTCTTTCAATACCCTACTGTACACTTTTCCTGGTATACTCAGTAAACTTATTCCCCTATAATTTGTACAATCTGTTTTGTCCCCCTTCCCTTTATATAAAGGAACTGTACATGCTCTCTGCCAATCCCTAGGTACCTTCCCCTCTTTCATACATTTATTAACGCTTTGACTGTCTCAAGCCCCTTTCTGAAACTGTCATTCTATGTTGCAAAATATTTGAAAAAAATAAAAATTATTTTTTCTTGTGAAATGATAGAGAATCTTTTCCTGATGCTAATGACACCAAAAAGTACGAAATCTGATCGAAAACTTACGGAATTACGCTCCTGCGAAGTTAGCGATCTCGGTGATATATACGCATTGGCGATTTGGCGACTTTGATCCCTATTTTCAGCCAATTCCATTGTTCAAGTTGACCAAACTCATAGCAATTTCTTTAGAACTCCATTTTTTCTATCAGTTGAGTACAAGAAACTGCCCCTTTACCAATTTTAATACCCAATAAAGTGGTCAGAAATTGGCAATTTGGCCAATTTTATGCAAATTAAAAAAGATGCCAATTTCAAAATAAGGTTCAGAATAAACAATGCAGATATTCTTGGCACTAAAATAACATATCCTCTGTTCATTAGCCATGTCTCCAGGCCCCTCTTATATTACTCTTGCTTTCTATTTTGATTTTTTATTCGCACAGAAAATAGAAGATTTACTGTTATGCAGACTACTGCATTATTGTAAAAATGGTATAAATAATATCAGTGCACTAGTGAAAGAGGAGAGAGAGAGATTTTGGGAGATGTTAAGTGAATGTATAGGAGCCTTTGAACCAAGTGAGAGAGTAATTGTGGTAGGGGACCTGAATGCTAAAGTAGGAGAAACTTTTAGAGAGGGTGTGGTATGTAAGTTTGGGGTGCCAGGTGTAAATGATAATGGGAGCCCTTTGATTGAACTTTGTATAGAAAGGGGTTTAGTTATAGGTAATACATATTTTAAGAAAAAGAGGATAAATAAGTATACAAGATATGATGTAGGGCGAAATGACAGTAGTTTGTTGGATTATGTATTGGTAGATAAAAGACTGTTGAGTAGACTTCAGGATGTACATGTTTATAGAGGGGCCACAGATATATCAGATCACTTTCTAGTTGTAGCTACACTGAGAGTAAAAGGTAGATGGGATACAAGGAGAATAGAAGCATCAGGGAAGAGAGAGGTGAAGGTTTATAAACTAAAAGAGGAGGCAGTTAGGGTAAGATATAAACAGCTATTGGAGGATAGATGGGCTAATAAGAGCATAGGCAATGGGGTCGAAGAGGTATGGGGTAGGTTTAAAAATGTAGTGTTAGTGTGTTCAGCAGAAGTTTGTGGTTACAGGAAAGTGGGTGCGGGAGGGAAGAGGAGCGATTGGTGGAATGATGATGTAAAGAGAGTAGTAAGGGAGAAAAAGTTAGCATATGAGAAGTTTTTACAAAGTAGAAGTGATGCAAGGAGGGAAGAGTATATGGAGAAAAAGAGAGAGGTTAAGAGAGTGGTGAAGCAATGTAAAAAGAGAGCAAATGAGAGAGTGGGTGAGATGTTATCAACAAATTTTGTTGAAAATAAGAAAAAGTTTTGGAGTGAGATTAACAAGTTAAGAAAGCCTAGAGAACAAATGGATTTGTCAGTTAAAAATAGGAGAGGAGAGTTATTAAATGGAGAGTTAGAGGTATTGGGAAGATGGAGGGAATATTTTGAGGAATTGTTAAATGTTGATGAAGATAGGGAAGCTGTGATTTCGTGTATAGGGCAAGGAGGAATAACATCTTGTAGGAGTGAGGAAGAGCCAGTTGTGAGTGTGGGGGAAGTTCGTGAGGCAGTAGGTAAAATGAAAGGGGGTAAGGCAGCCGGGATTGATGGGATAAAGATAGAAATGTTAAAAGCAGGTGGGGATATAGTTTTGGAGTGGTTGGTGCAATTATTTAATAAATGTATGGAAGAGGGTAAGGTACCTAGGGATTGGCAGAGAGCATGCATAGTTCCTTTGTATAAAGGCAAAGGGGATAAAAGAGAGTGCAAAAATTATAGGGGATAAGTCTGCTGAGTATACTGGTAAAGTGTATGGTAGAGTTATTATTGAAAGAATTAAGAGTAAGACGGAGAATAGGATAGCAGATGAACAAGGAGGCTTTAGGAAAGGTAGGGGGTGTGTGGACCAGGTGTTTACAGTGAAACATATAAGTGAACAGTATTTAGATAAGGCTAAAGAGGTCTTTGTGGCATTTATGGATTTGGAAAAGGCGTATGACAGGGTGGATAGGGGGGCAATGTGGCAGATGTTGCAAGTGTATGGTGTAGGAGGTAGGTTACTGAAAGCAGTGAAGAGTTTTTACGAGGATAGTGAGGCTCAAGTTAGAGTATGTAGGAAAGAGGGAAATATTTCCCAGTAAAAGTAGGCCTTAGACAAGGATGTGTGATGTCACCGTGGTTGTTTAATATATTTATAGATGGGGTTGTAGAGAAGTAAATGCGAGGGTCTTGACAGAGGCGTGGAGTTAAAAGATAAAGAATCACACACAAAGTGGGAGTTGTCACAGCTGCTCTTTGCTGATGACACTGTGCTCTTGGGAGATTCTGAAGAGAAGTTGCAGAGATTGGTGGATGAATTTGGTAGGGTGTGCAAAAGAAGAAAATTAAAGGTGAATACAGGAAGAGTAATGTTATGAGGATAACAAAAAGATTAGGTGATGAAAGATTGAATATCAGATTGGAGGGAGAGAGTATGGAGGAGGTGAATGTATTCAGATATTTGGGAGTGGACGTGTCAGCGGATGGGTCTATGAAAGATGAGGTGAATCATAGAATTGATGAGGGAAAAAGAGTGAGTGGTGCACTTAGGAGTCTGTGGAGACAAAGAACTTTGTCCTTGGAGGCAAGAGGGGAATGTATGAGAGTATAGTTTTACCAACGCTCTTATATGGGTGTGAAGCATGGGTGGATGAATGTTGCAGCGAGGAGAAGGCTGGAGGCAGTGGAGATGTCATGTCTGAGGGCAATGTGTGGTGTGAATATAATGCAGAGAATTCGTAGTTTGGAAGTTAGGAGGAGGTGCGGGATTACCAAAACTGTTGTCCAGAGGGCTGAGGAAGGGGTTGTTGAGGTGGTTCGGAATGTAGAGAGAATGGAGCGAAACAGATGACTTCAAGAGTGTATCAGTCTTAGTGGAAGGAAGGCGGGGGTAGGGGTCGGCCTAGGAAAGGTTGGAGAGAGGGGGTAAAGGAGGTTTTGTGCGCGAGGGGCTTTGACTTCCAGCAGGCATGCATGAGCGTGTTTGATAGGAGTGAATGGAGACAAATGGTTTTTAATACTTGACGTGCTGTTGGAGTGTGAGCAAAGTAACATTTATGAAGGGGTTCAGGGAAACCAGCAGGCCGGACTTGAGTCCTGGAGATGGGAAGTACAGTGCCTGCACTCTGAAGGAGGGGTGTTAATGTTGCAGTTTAAAAACTGTAGTGTAAAGCACCCTTCTGGCAAGACAGTGATGGAGTGAATGATGGTGAAAGTTTTTCTTTTTCGGGCCACCCTGCCTTGGTGGGAATCGGCCAGTGTGATAATAATAATAATAGTGAAAGAATATTAGACTCCCCAGTTGACGTGTATTGGACGTGTGGTGTGATTTGTTTATTCTTGAATATTTGTAAAAATCGAACATTTCCACTACTTTGAGCTCAATTTCAAGGTCATTTTTGTTGTGAAACTAATCAAAGTCACCCCTATTTCTGCAAATATCCCACTTTGACAGTTTTCTTCATTTTCTTTTTAGTAGGCTGTACGGGAAAAGGGGTTACTAGCCCATTGTTCCCGGCATTTTAGTTGACTTTTGCAACACGCACGGCATACGGAGGAAAGATTCTTATTCCACTTCCCCATGGATATAAAAGCAAAAAGCAATAAGAACAAAAACTATTAAGATAAAATCAAAGAAAACTCGGATGAGTTTGTATACATAAACGTATACATGTATGTGTAGTGTGACCTAAGTGTAAGCAGAAGTAGCAAGACGTTTCTGAGCTCTTACATGTTTATGAGATGGAAAAAAAGACACCAGCATTCCTACCATCACGTAAAACAATTACAGGCTTTCGTTTTACTTTCACTTGGCAGGACGGTAGTACCTCTCTGGGTATTTGCTGTCTACCAACCTACTACTATTTGTTATCAGGATATTATTATTATTATTATTTTCATGTGAACTGCTAAACCCACAAGAACTGTACATTGTCTGGGGAATGAGAGTTACTTGGGTTTCATCAGACAAAGGGAAAGGAAGAAATAAGGTAGGAATACTGCACAGATTTCCACCTCTTTATGCAGTTTCACTGTGTGCAATTTCTCTTATTTGCATCTACCCTATTTCTATCAGTAATTCTTTGTGTAATATAAATTCCTTCTTATGTGAGACCCAAACACACTTTAAATTAGGGGTAGGATGATTTTTTGCCCACACCAATGATTGTAAGCAAAAACTAGTTGACACCAACACTGATACGCAAAAATGAGCTAATGCCTACCGGTACCAATACTCAATTTTAGGCTGATACCGATACCATCAAAATTAGCCAATACCTACTGATACTAATTCTTTGGTGCTTCCCTACTCTAAATGTCACTCTATACCAGTTTATGTTGATATTCATTAGAAAGATTTGAAAGAAAGAGAACAGATTTATGTGTGGGAAATCCACTAAACATATTTTGTACGAAATTCTGTGATTGGTTTTCATTTTAAGTGTCTTGTGCCAAGTCAAAAGAAATGGACACTCAGACACACAAAGTTGGATTGCACTGACATAAAACCAGGACTAGGGGTGGAGAGAGGGAGGAAAGAGTGTGGAGAACTGACGTAAAATCAGGACAACGGGTGGAGGGAGGGAGGAAAGAGTAGAGAACTGACATAAAATCAGGACTGGGGGTGGAGGGAGGGAGGAGAGAGTGTGGAGAACTGATATAAAATCAGGTGGAGGGAGGGGAGGAAAGAGTGTGGAGGTATATATTCATAGGTTCATAACATGTGCATTTCAGTCTAGACAATGACAAGCTGGTTGGTTTGCAGTGGGGGTTGGAGACAAGTAAAAAGGGAGGAAGATTATGATTGAACTTTGAATTTAATTTTTTTCTCATATGTTTTGTAACCAGTTGCATTTTTTTGTATATATCTGTTGGGTGCCTATCTTGTATGCCAATAATTTTTTATGATACTGTATGGAAATTATCATTGACTTTTTATTTTATTTTTCTCAGTTTTTTGACCAAATATTTTATTTTTTGTGTCCATTTGCCACGTGTGGTAAGCTCATATTCTGCTAATTTTTAGCTTTTCTAACATGGAATTTGTAAAATATCAAAATGAATTTCATTGTTTTGCATGTTTAAATGTTTTGCTTGTTCACTGTATGCAAATTTGCTCTGTGCACCATGGGCCATGAATGTATTTATCATGTAAAGCAAGGAAGATCTGTAATGCAAAAGGACTGCTAAGGTTCTCATATGTTTTGACAATATTAGAACAGTACTAACTTCATGAATGACTGGGAGTTGTTTTCAGAGGGAGTATTTGATGATGCTAAATTAAAAAAAATTAGGCATGTGTGAGTGTGTTAGGAGTGAGTGGAGGCAAACGGTTTTTGGGACTTGACATGCTGTTGGAGTGTGAGAAAGGTAATATTTTGTGAAGGGATTCAAGGAAACCAATTAGCTGGATTTGAATCCTGGAGGTGGGAAGTACTGTGCCTGCATTCCTAAGGATGGATGGAAATATTTGCTATTTGGAGGGACTGCTGTATCTACGCATCTCTGGCAAGACAGTGATAGTATAAATGACAGTGAAAGTGTTTATTTTTTGGGTCACCCTACCTCAGTAGGAGGCAGTCAGTGTATTAAAAAAATTATTTTCACTGCAGTATTTGTATGTTATGACTTCAGATGATACCAGTTTACATGGTTGATTAAACTATGTATAAGAGTTGAGTAATAAATGTAAAGTGAAAATCAGTATAATTCTCCACAAAGGATTATTTTGAATGTGTAGGTAGCCATGGTTACTGATGTATGCATTTTTTCTTCTCTTGCATAAACTTTTAGCAGCAATATTTACTCCCTCTCAGTCTTATAACAAAATGTTTAGATAAATTTTTGACTCATCAGGTATGCCTGAGGTTTTTTGTATATTTTCAGAGCATTGTTTGGTACTGTTTGGGCAGTATATAATTCAGAATTGAATTTTTCAGGTGAAACAGAAACACCCTGAGCCCATATATGATTTAGTGGCTAATATTGTGCATGATGGAGAGCCTGAAGCTGGCACATATCGATGTCATATTCTGCACAAGGTACTGTTGACTGTTGTTGTTATTCTTGTAAAAGAAAATCACTACACCTGTTGGGTCATTTGGCACTGCAAGGTACAGCTGAGTTGCTTTGCCCACAGCTCTGTGAAAATTGCTATTAACATTAAGTGTTTTATATTATAAATATAGTAATGGTCTTTATTTTTATATTAGGGCTCAGTCATTTGAAATTAATCTCCAGGTCATGGAAGCAGGCAACAGAATTTCCAGGTCATGGTAACAGGCAATAGAATTTCCAGGTCATGGTAGCAGGCAACAGAATTTCCAGGTCATGGTAGCAGGCAACAGTTGTATATTGGTGGTTATGTCACAGACCATTTCTTGTTCACTATTGTCTCAGTTTTGATGATTATTTTTACTATCATTATAATCATGGGGAAGTGCTAGATCCATAGGGTCATACAACATCTAGGGGAATGGAAGATAATTAGATTTGATCCAAGGAAAGGAAGATAAGCCTCAGTTCCTAGGATCGAACCCCTTCACTGGCATCAAAGCATCCTTCTCGAAGGGCATGGTTTAGAATGCAGGTTTGTTATTTCCCTCACTCTGTACTGACATGTGGTAAAAGTTTATGGAGTATATAATCTGGTGCCTTTTTATTTTTTTATTTCATGAGGGAAATGTTTTAAATTAGCTTTGTTTGAATATCATGCCACTTCCTTAACTTAGCTGCCTATCTCATGGTGAGTTTGTGGACTTTTTTTTTTTTCTTTCTCCGAGGTCATATTGTATTCACAAAAAGGTGGCAAACTTGTATGAGTCATTCAGCATCCCCAGCAATAAATTGGATTTTGTAAGGCCATTCCATTCTGTATTTTTTCATGACTTCAGCAGTGTCTCACCAAGGTAAGGTTACCCAAGGTTGAAAAACATTCATATCATTCTAATTATTACTGGTGGAGGGAGGATTAGTTCTTTGGCCTTGGCATGGTTTAAGTGGGAAGGATTCTATCCTGCTGGTTCCTCTCAGGAATCCATTCATTGCATGTTTGTTATAACAGAATTACATGAAAGTGTAATACTTGTGTTGCTCTGCAGGGAACTGGAAAGTGGTATGAATTACAGGATCTACATGTGAAAGAGATTGAGCCTCAGATGTTAACTCTAACTGAATCATACATTCAGGTCAGTAAGATTTTTTTTTTTTTTTTTAATTTTAACTGAATCATACATTCAGGTCAGTAAGATATTTTTTTTTTTAATTTAATTTAGAAAATTTGCAAAGTTGGGATCATTGTAGTAAAAACCTATACAGTTTTTGATCTATTTTGCTCATTTAACATAATTTGAGCTGTTGATCAATACTATTCATCAATGTCTTTGATCTCTTACTACTAATAGACCCCACTCTCTAAGGAATGTTGGCCGTCATGTGGAATCCTTTTCGTACATATTAAATTATTTTATGTATAGAAGGACTTTACTTTGGTTGGCCATGGAAATGGTGGTCAACAAGGACAACATTCATCCAGTTAGATTCAACTTTTCTCCTACAATTCCTGCTCTTGCTTTCACATTAATCTGAGTACCACATGTTAAAAAGCCAAGATCACATGATTCCACTGCCTGTTTTATTTTTTTTCAAAGTTTCATTCTGTATCCTTTTCATAATCAAACATGTTGTCATTAACTTTCTCTGGTAGATTTTTTAGAACTTACTGTGTAAGTTTCTGACTCATTTAATTACAAAAAAATTAGGTCTGAAGATTACACTTAAAATTTTCTTTCTCATTATATTTCCGATGTGAACTGACAAAGAAGACTGGAAATGTGTAGTATGAGATAGTAAAAATAGTGGAACCTTGACTTACGAGTTTAATCCGTTCCAGGAGCTAGCTCGTAACTCAATTTACTCGTACAGTGGACCCCCGAGTTTCGGCTGCCTCGACTTTCGTGAAATTCGACCTTCGGCGAGTTTTTTTTGGAAAAATTTGGCCTTGAGTTTCGTGAAAAAACTCGTGTTTCGGCGACCGTCCAGTACCCGTCCACTCGTCACCGCGCACACAAAGCCAGTCTCCCACGCCATTCATGCTCAGTGTGCCATTGTTTACCAACACGTGACCATCACCCCACAGGTTCATACAGTACATTTCATAATAATCCATTGTTTTTTGTGCTTGCAACTGCTAAATAAGTCATCATGGACCCAAGGAAAGCTAGTGCAAGCCCTTTGGTAAATAAAGTGAGTGATGGGGATGTGGAAGAGTTGGTGGAGGACCACAGGGAAGAGCTAACCACTGACGAACTGCAAGAGCTTCAACTAGAACAGCATCAGACCACAGCCGAGGAACTTGCTTCAGAGGAGGAGGAAGAGGGAGTAGATGAGGTGCCTTCTTCAGTGATTAAGGACATGTGTGGAATGTGGAATGAGTTGCAAAGTTTTGTTGAAAAGTATCACCCTGACCAAGCTGAAACAAGCCATATCTGCAACATGTACAATGACAGTATTGTGTCCCACTTCAGGGAAATCTTAAAGAAACGCCAGAAAAAGACCTCTCTGGATAGATATTTTGTGCGCCAGGGTCCAGTGACTCTCAAGTTGTTCCCAGTAGCATTAAAAGAAGAAGGGAAGTAACCCCAGATAAGGACTTGCTACCTCAAGTCCTAATGGAAGAAGATTCTCCTTCCAAACAATAGTGTACACCTTCCTCCTATCACCTCCCATCTTCCATCCACCCAGAAGTCTTCAGTAAAGGTAAGTGTAATGTTATTATTATTTATTTTAAATGCATGTACTTGATTTCTGATTGTTTTCATTATGTAGGTCTTTGTTTAATTTGAAAAAAAAAAATAAATTATTTTAATATTTTTGGGAGTCTGGAACGGATTAATTTTATTTCCATTATTTCTTATGGGGAAAGTGGTTTCGAGTTTCGTGAATCTCGAATTTCACGAAACTCGGGGGCCCACTGTATATCAAATTAATTTTCCTCATTTAAATTGATTGAAAAGCCATTAATTCGTTCTTGTACTCTGGAGAGACGAGAAAAAATACTTGATTATGACACTATTATCAACTGTACGGCTTATTTATCTATCACAATTCATCTAATATGACATAATAAACAATACAGTATAATTACAGTGGACCCCCGGTTATCGGCCGTAATCCATTCCTGAAGGTCGGCTGACAACCGAAATGGCCGATAACCGAATTAATATTTCCCGTAAGAATTACTGGAAATAAAATTAATTCGTTCCAAACAAAAATATTAACAAAAAAAAAAATTTTTCTACAATTATGTAAGTATTACATACCTTTATTGAAGGCTGATGCTGCCTTCTGGAAGATAGGGAGGAGGAAAGAGAGAGGAGTTAGTGTTTGGAAGGGGAATCCTCCTCCATGAAGACTTTAGGTAGCAATGCCTTCTCTGGGGTTACTTCCCTTCTCTGTCTTTTAATGCTACTTGAACCAGCTTGAGAGTCACTAGACCCCTGTCTCACAAAATAAGTGTCCAGAGTGCTCTGTTTCTGGCATCTCTTTAAGATTTCCCTGAAGTGGGACAGGGTTTTGTCACTAAACATGTTGCAGATATGGCTTGTTTTAGCTTTGTCAGGGTGGTGTTTCTCTACAAAAGCTTGCACCCTGGTCCACATTGCACACAACTCTTTAATCTCTGAAGAAGGCACCTCCTTCACTCCCTCTTCCTCCTCCTCTGAAGCAAATTCCTCAACTGCAGTCTGTTGCTGTTCAAGTTGAAGCTCTTGCAGCTCTTCAGTGGTAAGCTCTTCCCTGTGGCCCTCCACCAACTCTTCCACATCCTCACCACTCACCTCCAACCCCAGGGACTTCCCCAAAGACACAATAGAGTCCACAGGGTCGGCAGGGTCAGGGTCATGGTGAGTCTCAAACCCTTCAAAATCCCTCTCTTGGACACAATCTGACCACAGTTTTCTCCAAGCAGAGTTCAAAGTCCTGGAAGTCACTCCCTTCCAAGCCTTACCATGGAGCAATGGTTACTTATTTCACAGTTGCACTGCAAGAAAAACCACTAAAAACAATGGTAAACAAGCAAAATGTTTGGATGTATGAACAGAAGCTTCCTCAGCCACCGAGAGACAAAGCCAAACTGAAGCGCAAGCTGCCCCAGCCGGCAAATGGACGTGTCCAAAATGGCCGATAACCGAGCGAACGACCGATAACTGAGCGCCGAAAACCCTGCCGATAACCGAGTTGGCCGATAACCAAACCGGCTGATAACCGGGGGTCCACTGTAACACAGAAACATGATACATACTCTAGAATGAATAAAATAGGCCATAATATGGTGGCAGAGGCAGCGGCGGCAGCGTCCGCCATTTCCTGTGTATATACTGAGAGCATCTTCCCATGCTCTTATTGTAAGAGAAAATGGAGTATTTTTGAGGCTGACTGCAGTAGATCACTAGTATTCTAATGAAAACACTGAAAATATCGTATATAAATACATAATAAATCATAATACACTACAGAATGTAAAGAAATAAACTCTTTATATAAAGTGTATATGTACTTACACACTGAACATAACTGATACAATTTGTTTTGTTTAATCACTGAACATAACTGATATGGTATCTCCTGCGAGCTGCTTCTCTCTCGACCACGTCAGCAGCAGCTTCTCCATCTTTTCATGAACAGAGGTCCACAGCTTAGATGTTATTGTAATGTCCTTGGCTGGCGCTATAGCCTTTATCGACTCCTGCTGCTTTAGTATCGTACATATAGTAGATGTACTGCGCTGGTATTGTCTGGCTAAATCCACAACTCGTGCACCTTATGTTTATCTATGATTTCATGCATTAGTTCCATGGAAATCATTGTCTTTTTCTTCTCAGCACTGTCCTGTGCACTTATTTTCAGGACCATGGTTAACAAGTATTTTGGACCAATACGCTTAATATTGTAAGCTGCTGCAATAGCTTATCGAGCGAGATGCACTTGACAGTGATGTAACATGGTGTACTGCCCACACTCGTGCATCTTAATTATTTTATTATGTACGTGATTATCATAATCATTTTATTTTATAATTATTACTTATCAATTTCAGTGAACTGAAACTCCATTGTTAATTTAAGATAATAAAAATTTTATTATTATAATTTAGGAACTGAAGCTCTATTGTTATTATATATATTATTATTATTATTATTTATTATTATTAGGGAACTGAAGCTCTATCGTTATTGTAATAATATTATATTATTATGTTAATTTAGGGAACTGAAGCTCTACCATTATTATAATAATATTATTATTATTATTATTATTATTATATTATTATATTATTATTATTTTGGGAATTAAACATATCCAATTCCTAATAAAGGGAGACCCTAACCAGAATCAAGGAACCTTGACACTGGTGAGGGGCTCTTGATCTAGGGAATTGGATATGTGCTCAAGTTCTCTAAATTAATAATAATAATAATAAAATAAAAATAATTATAATAACTATAGAGCTTCAGTTCCCTAAATTATCAATAATAATAATTATAATAATAATAATTATTACAATAACGATAGAGCTTCAGTTCCCTAAATTAATAATAATAATACATTATTGTAACGAGAGCTTCAGAACAAAGCCAACTCGGTGCACTGTTTACCTCGCTGTGGGAGCACTGTTTACCTAGCTGTGGGAGCACTGTTTACCTCGCTGGAGCACTGTTTACTCGCTGTGGAGCTGTTTACCTAGCTGTGGGAGCACTGTTTACCTCGCTGTGGGAGCACTGTTTACCTCGCTGTGGGAGCACTGTTTACCTCGCTGTGGGAGCACTGTTTACCTAGCTGTGGGAGCAGTTCTCTCCTGATTTGCTTACATTTTTACAGTCATTTGGCCAAATTTCGCTTTTCTAACCATAGGTCCTAAGAAAGTAAGTGCAAAGGGCAGTGCTGATAAGAAAAAGAGGATGATTTCCATGGAATTAAAGCATGAAATCATAGATAAACAAGAGAAGTGTCCAGGTCTTGGGTTGAGGGGGAAGTGGGGGGGAGCTGGCTCGTAACTCAAATGTTGGCTCATAACTCAGAGCAAAAAATCGACCGATCGAAGGCTCGTATGTCAAAAAACTTGAATGTTGGGACACTCGTAGGTTAAGGCTCCACTGTAGTTGAAACAACATAACCCTGCTGTGGTATGGGCATAATGGGAGACTGTTGGAAAAGTAGGCTGGAAAGGATAATGTACAAAACTGAAGTACAGGACATTAAAGTACAGTGGACCCTTGATTGTCGGCTGTAATCCATTCCAGAAGGTCAGCCTAAAACAAAAAAGGCCTAAAACCAAAACAATATTTTCCATAAGAATTAACGTAAATCCAATTAATCCGTTTCAGACATCCAAAGGTATTAGCAAAAAATACATTTTTTAAAGATTAACTGTAGTTTTACATACAGTAAACAATGAGTACATTCATTACTTACCTTAAAATATTTGTAGTCTTAATGTAGGATGAGAGGTGAGTAATATTTATTTGTAGGAAGTCAGTGTAGGCATCGGTAGATGTAGGTACAGTACACTTATGTAGTCCCCTCCCCCCTGGGGCTACACTACACTACACAGCCATATTATTACCATGTTCACTGAGTTTAATTGTTTCTAATAACTACCTTTAGATGCCATCATAAACAAAAGGAGAATTTTTTTTTTATTAACACACTGGCCGATTCCCACCAAGGCAGGGTGGCCCAAAGAAAGAAAAACTTTCACCATCATTCACTCCATCACTGTCTTGCCAGAAGGGTGCTTTACACTACAGTTTTGAAACTGCAACATTAACACCCCTCCTTCAGAGTGCAGGCACTGTACTTCCCATCTCCAGGACTCAAGTCCGGAGAAGTAATGAATAATTCATGCCGAGAATTGTAAACAAATGCACATGATGGGTGGTTACTGGGCGAGATGCCAAATTCAGTTTTCTCTAACACTGAATCAGAGAAAACGTTAATGTTTACTCTCCACTTGATAGCATACAAACATTGCATGTTTATATGCTGTGTCATGTTTCTTATATAATATTGAACAAAATGTCATATATGGATTAATGAAAATGTCTGCATTAACCTAAAATAAGACATTTAATGTGCCCAAGAGTGATTATTATTAAACATACATTGCATATAAACATTGCTACACTCCCTGCCTTCCTGCTACACTTCCTGCCTTCCTGCTATACTCCCTGCCTTCCTGCTACACTCCCTGCCTTCCTGCTACACTCCCTGTCTTCCTGCTACACTCCCTGCCTTCCTGCTGCACTCCTTGCCTTCCTGCTACACTCCCTGCATGCCTGCTACACTCCTTGCCTCTATGCCTGCCTGCTACACTCACTGCCTGCCTGCTATACTCACTCCCTGCCTGCTACACTCCCTGCTTCCCTGCTACACTCCCTGGTACACTCCCTCCCTGCCTAATACACTCCCTGCATGCCTGCTGCACTCCTTGCCTCTATGCCTGCCTGCCTTGAATTCTATCATGTTTCTCACTTTCTTTACCAAAGGAACTTTACTAGGAACTTTCTTTGGGGCCATGGTTACTTATTTCACAGTTGCACTTAATCAGTAACCACCAAAAACACTGGATTATAGCAAAATATTTGGATGAATGAGCAGAAGCTTCCTCACTCGCCCAGAGACACAGCCACACTGACTCAGGAATGCGTGAGCGGCTGGTGGTGGATGTGTCCAGTATGGCCGATAAGCAAAATAGCGGCTGATAACTGGAAGCTGAAAAATCGGCCGATAACCGAGTTGACAGATAAGCGGAATGGCCGATAACCAAGGGTCCACTGTACTTGGCAAACAGCCTTTAACATGGTATAGGTTATTTTAGGAATGAATAAGAATGCATTCTATAATTGCCAAAAGGTAACAGAATGGTTTAAGTTATTGAGGTAGGGTTGCCTGGAACATTTTCTGTTGGGGCATTACCCATTTAAGGAAGATGTCAGACAGAAATAGGTACATTATTATATAAAATTGCCAATTATATGCCACATGTTCACTTTTCATTTGTCTCAAATCAGGTGTATATTCTTCTTCTAGTCATTTATTCTAAATTATATATGTTACATTGCATTGTTATAATTTTTGATATACATATTTTTTAACATCCTTTATATATCAAGGTGCTGTAATAGAAACCTGGCAAGCAATTTTTTTATTATAATAGACCTGATATGTTGTTATTTGTTGAATAAAATATGAAATATATATTTTAATTTTTCCAGATATATGAAATGCAGAACTGTATAGTAAAATCTCATGACAAGAAGAACACCTGAGAAAGTCAAGATAAGGTAAATAAAAATAAAATATCAATGAAATTTTTACCCCAAATTAAATTGAAAGATCCACTCTTATAGGTTTAACCCTTAAACTGTCCAAACATAAGTCTACATTTTAAAAACCATACCACGGGCGGGATTGAACCCACGGTCAGAGAGTCTCAAAACTCCAGACCGTCGCGTTAGCCACTGGACCAGCTAGCCACAATAAGATTCGTCCAACTAGGTATATTTCTACACCATAGGAAGGTTAGCATAGGCACCACTGTGACCACAAATGCAAGTTTTTACAGACGAATCTCCAGCTAGCGTGGCCGTGACGAACTCTAGTTCAAGTCCCCTCAATGCCGTCAACATGACTCACAAAATCGTAATGACACGATTGCAAACAAACCATACCATGGCGGGATTGAACCCGCGGTCAGTGGCTATCGCGACAGTCTGGAGTTTTGAGACTCTGACCGCGGGTTCAATCCCACCCGTGGTATGGTTTGTTTGCAATCGTGTCATTATGATCTACATTTTCACTGCCAGCGCCCTGAATATTTTAGAATTTTTTTTTTTTTAATTAAAGAGGGTAATTTTCTGTGTGTAATAAGATCCAAAAATAATTTTAGGATCAGTACTTACCAAGATATAAGACCATGAAGTTGGCGCTGAATGCTCGCCTGATGGCAACATCGAGTCCTTCCGCTTGCAGAACTGTTGCCAATATACCTTGAAACATAGTGTAAAGACAAATGTCACCGAACTGCAGATAGTACAACAGTGGAGTGGCACTTGATGAGCATGCACTCCTCCAGGGAACCCAGGCTTTATTTGTTTTCACTGTTATACATAAACATGTCTGTCTGTCTGTCTAGCTCTGCTTATCTGTCTGTCTGTAGCTCTGCTTATATGTCTTTCTGTCTGCATGTGTGTGTCTGTCTTTCCATCTGCTTGTCTCTGTCTCAGAGAGCGGCTCGTAAACCAACAGGTATTACACATGATGCAGTCACATTTGATTCCTGATCAAGTTAAAATGTGTATTACTTGCCAGTCATGCTTATTATACCTTATATCTACAAGCACTATATAGCACTTTGCCTGGAATTTTTGGGTTATCCTAGGTAATTTACACTATGTATAATAGCTGTACTTGTGTACCTGTGAGAGAGACATAGACAGAGACAGGACCCGAATGGAAATGAAGTCACTCTGTCTGACTTTTTTTGGGTTATCCCAGGTACTTTACACATATGCTGCTATGTATGATAATCTGTGTAACTGTATTTGTGTATACCTGAATGAACTTACTACTTAGACAAACATTTATAGACAGACAAAGATATAGACAGAGACAGCCAGAGTCAACCAGCCAGCTAGCCAACCAGCTGGCCGAATATGTATTACACATTCCAGAATCGTTTCTCTTTACTTAGGGCATAGGTTATAGGACATTCTGGCAGGATGACACTACCAGTGGTATCAGAAATGAAAGGATGTTGCACAAATGTTGCACATGGGTTATTATCGAGGTTTTTTATATTTCCTCAACCACTTGTGGCCACATCCATCTCAAAGCCTCTAAACTCTGGGTCAACATCACTTTCCTCTTAAAAGGGGAGTGTTAATAGAACATGGCATCAGTGAATCCCTGGTGTTTGTCACACTGTTTGCTCTAGCTGGCGCTCAGTTGAACTAGTGCTCCCACAGGATACTAAGTGGTCCCAGATTTTTTTAATACTGTGCACACTGAATGTTAAGACCCATTCTGTACTGACCAGGCATCTCAGGCCAATATGCCAAATTTAAAGGCAGGAAAAATAAAACATAGCTCTATGTTTGGAGTGCTAGCGGTACAAACGTAGATCTATGTTTGGACAGTTTAAGGGTTAACTGATGTCAAAACATTTATTTTTTAATATTTTACAGGTCTGTAAAGCAAGTTTTTATAAAATTTGAGTTTTGTCTTAAATAAGAGCGCAGTGAAGCATTCTCACATCATCCCCTGTAGAGTTAGTTTTAAGAGGATAGTTCAGGATAATTATACTGTAATATGTATAGATAACACCTTTGAAAGAAGAGTAATAAATACTGTGTTATGGTTGTGTACTGATAGGCAAAAATAATTCTTTGAATGAAATGTTCTACCACATTGATTATTAATAACAATAAAAGGAGTTTTACTATTTTGTTTTATTTTAATTTTATATGGAGCAGCAAAAAAGTGATGGAGTCATAAATAGGAGACTTGCAGTATGAAATGCATACAGCCTCTCCTCACTTAACGACGGGGGTTCCGTTCCTAAGAGTAGGTTGGTAAGTGAATTGGTCGTTAAGCGAAGAGCGTACTGTACTGGTAGTGGGTTTGTGTCAACCATTTTTAGATATTTTTTTAATGTCACCTTTGCACCGTTTATAACATTTCTAATATATTTTTAACCCGTAAACGATCCTAACGTATATATACGTTTTTACCGCTAGTGCCCCAAACGTATTTATATGTTTTATGTGTCATACATTTTACATTGCCACGATAAGCCTGAGTCACCTAGACATGAGAGAATGGGTGTGAGCACTCACTGTGCGCCATATTAAAATAATTGGGGATGCCTGGGTGTTACAAAAAACACGATTCTAAAAGCTTAGAGATCTCCAGTGAATACTACTAGAAAGGACTAGAGATCTCCAGTTAATACTACTAGAAAGGACTGCCCTTCTAGCATCCAGCCTGTTACTGGGTTTTCGTAACAAGTAGTCAGTAACCTTGTCCAATTATCCATTAGAATTCAGTATGATTCAATAGTGCTTCAGGATTACAACTGGTAGGCTACTAACTAGAGAAATTAAAATTTAATAAATTTATTAATAAAGTTGTCTAGGCGTATATCAAATTAAATTAAATTAATCACAGTAATCAAAATAATATTAATCACTTCTCTCGAGTACAGTAGTAGTGTGCTGAAAGCACATATCACATTTATAATTCTTAAGTACCGTCTGATACATTAACATTTAATAAGATATTACAAATATGTACAAGTTTGTGTGTATGTGTGTAAGTGCTCTAAGTAGTTCGCTATGTCTCACGACTCGACTAGACTTAAACAAGTGACTGACAAAGTCCTTAAATAAACTAACTTCTTGACCAACTGGCAATCAGAACAGTCTGCTTGAACAATAAAAAGAATGCTAAGCCCAATAGCAATATAACAAGCAGTTGCAACACAGAATCAGGAACAAGGAGATAATATAAAGACAGCTAGTAGGGACCATCAGCAGATCCTCCACAAAAGTCACAAAACTCCCATACTACTGAATCTAAGTTCAGCATACGAAAATACCCGACTGTGACAGTGCACAGATACCAGTACAAGTTAGGTCAGAAGCTACAGCTCAGGACCTGAGTTGCTCAGAGTGTCTAAGCGACACACAACCTCAGTACAACGTGGAAAATCACTAAGTCTATACAATGTTTTGTGAACAGAGTTCTACAGAACTAACAAGAATAATGAGACAAGAGACGATCTTCCAACAAGAGCCAATAAGGTAGACTTAGGCTCTTCTTGTTAGAATACGTCCAACCACCAAGCGAGTCTAGACCAGACTGAATACTTCAGGCGAGGTGAGGACACCCCCCCCCCTCGATCACATGATAGCTCCGTGGGTCGCTGCCCAGCAAGAAGCCGGCAGGGAAACAAGCAAAGAGCGATAATTACAGTAGTTAGACAATCAAGACTTGAACTGAGCACATAATATGTTACATCCTACCTAACCAAAGGAAGCTAAGTCAAATAACAATATAAAGCAATACATTTACGATTTAGCTATTATCGCAAATACAAGCAATATAAAATTATATGAAAAGATAATAATTATATATATATACATAATCATTGCAACCCATTCAGGGGTTGCAACACTGGGTACCATATGCTCTTTTTTCCTATTAAAAAACAGCAATGTTTTTTTTTTCTCAAAAAAGTTGGGGTAGTACGGTAGTGAACGTATATATACGTTTGGACCGTTTATGGGTTAAATGTTTGTACAGTAGTGTACTGTATACTGTAATAAACAGAATAGAGGAAATCAGCTCTAATATACATTATACTTAGGTTTGCATGCTGGTTGGAGAACTGGTTGTAAATCAGAGTGGTTGGTAAACAAGTGCAGTGGTCCCTCAATTATTGTCCTTAATCCGTTCCTGGAAGTGGGACTATTATCGAAATAGACGATTTTCGAATCAATTTTCCCCATAAGAAATAATGTAAATCCAATTAATTCGTTCAGGACACCCAGAAGTATCAACAGCAATTTTTTTTTTTTTTTTACCTAAAAGATAGATTTACATGCACAAAAGAATGAACATTCAACATGACAGTTACCTTTATTGAAGGCTGTTGTTGGTGAATGGAAGACAGGGAGGAGGAGAGAGGGAAGAGAGGTTATTGTTTGGAAGGGGAATCCCCCTCCATAAGGACTCTAGGTCACTTCAGGGGTCATTTCCCTAGCATAAATATAGATTTACATGCAGAAAAGAATGCCAAATAAATGTAAAGCACTAATAAAATGTATAAATGAACATTGGTAATAAGGGTAGTTGATGAGTGGAACGGTCTGCCTAGTAGGGTGATCGAAGCTAAAACATTGGGTAGTTTCAAATTTAGGTTGGATAAATACATGAGTGAGAGGGGTTGGATTTGAGTCTGACTTGCACCTGAGCTTATTGCTTGGGTAGCATTTGTTCTGTTAGTGAGTTGGATTTTTGAAGGACCGGCCTAGTATGGACCAGCAGGCCTACTGCAGTGTTCCTTTTTTCTTATGTTCTTATTGAAGACTTGTTTGTGTGAGAGAGGGATGGTAAGTTTATTGTTGGAGAATATGACAGTAATATCAACTCTACAGCTTATTTATCTAATCACACTTCAACTAATATGACATAATAAACAATATTAATAACATAGAAACATGGAATATACTCTAGAATGAATAAAATAAGTCATTACGTATGTCACGAGAGGTGTTGTGTTGTGTTGTTGTTGGGTATATAAGGGCCACTGAGAATAAGCCGTCCATAATGGTGGTGAAGCAGCAGCTGAGGCGGCGGTGTTTTCTGTGGCCCTATATAACTCCAACAACATCGGAGGAGTTGGTAGAATCGCTGAATCACTAAAGAAGGAACCCTCTACCACCATCACTATGACCTTCTACCACTATTACAACTGTTACCACCATCACTACTACCTTCTACCACCATCAACCACTATCACAACTGCTTCCACTCTCCCACCACCACCTTTCTATTTTTCTACAAACTTTTTCATAAATTATATGTGTTTCTCACATTCTTTACCAAAGGGCTGGCACTAGAAGCTTTCTTTGGAGCCATGGTAGCTTATTTAGCACTTGCAAGTACTAAAATCAATGGAATATTATGAAATATTTCGTAGGAGCAAGTGAGGGGACCGTCACTCACTGGCTGGGAAGGCAAGCCCAGGCGGCTCAGAGCGTGAGTACGCGTCCCAGACGCAGGACGATTAGCGAGTTAATGGACCATTTGCGAGCCAGTGTTTAGACGAAATAATGGGACTATTTCCGAAATGGACGATTTTCAGGCCGGACGATTATTGAGGGACCACTGTACGTTGCTAAGTGAGGAGAAGCTGTATTAATCAGACTTGGAATTAGTAAACGGCATAAATATTTCACTATTAGCAGCCAGTGTATTAACCCTTTGACTGTCGCGGCCGTATATATACGTCTTACCAGGTACCGTGTTTGACGTATTTTTTTTTTTTTTAACAAGTTGGCCATCTCCCACCGAGGCAGGGTGACCCAAAAAAGAAAGAAGATCCCCAAAAAGAAAATGCTTTCATCATCATTCAACACTTTCACCACACTCACACATAATCACTGTTTTTGCAGAGGTGCTCAGAATACAACAGTTTAGAAGCATATACGTATAAAGATACACAACATATCCCTCCAAACTGCCAATATCCCAAACCCCTCCTTTAAAGTGCAGGCATTGTACTTCCCATTTCCAGGACTCAAGTCCGACTATATTCTAGCGGCTTCAAATCAAGCAGGAGAAAGCTGGTAGGCCCACATGTGAGAGAATGGGTCTGTGTGGTCAGTGTGCACCATATAAAAAAAATCCTGGAGCACACAGTGCATAATGAGAAAAAAAAAACTCCGACCGTTTTTTTTAATTAAAATGCCGACTTTGTGGTCTATTTTCGTATAGTTTTTATGGTTGTATTCTCGTTTTCTTTGTCTCTTTTGATAGAATGGAAAACATATTATAGAAATAGAGGTGATTTTGATTGATTTTACTATAAAAAGAACCTAGAAATGGAGCTCAAAGTAGGGGAAATGTTTGATTTTTGCTAATGTTCAAAAGTAAACAAATGATGCCATTGTCCAATAAATGTCCAACTAGCCATTCTAATATGCAGTCATGAATGGGTTGATGTTATTTATACAATTATTACAGTATTGCAGTAGTCTGCATAATAGTAAGTCTTCTATTTTTTGTTTGAATAAAAATTCAAAATAGAAAGCAAGAGTAATATCAGAGGGACCTAGAGACATGACTGATGAGCAAAGAAAATGTTATTTTAGAGCCAGGAATGTCTGCATTGTTCATTCTGGACCTTATTTTGAAATTGTCATATTTTTTAGTTTTCGTGAAATTGGCCAAATTGCAAATTTTTGACTACATTATTAGGTAGTTGAAATCAGTAAATGGGCAGTTTCTTGTACTCAATCGATAGAAAAAATGGAGTTCTAAAGAAATAGCTATGAGTTTGGGTGACTGGCACAATGGAATTAGCCGAAAATAGGGCTCAAAGTGGGCGAAATCGCCGATTTGTAAACAGCGCCGAGGTCGCTAACTTTGCGAGAGCATAATTCCGTCAGTTTTCCATCAAATTTCGTTTTTTTGGTGTCATTACAATCGGGAAAAGATTCTCTATCATTTCATAATTTTTTTTTTTTTTTTTTTAAATTTTGCGACACCAGGAGACACCACAGGATTGGGGATTGTGACAGTCAAAGGGTTAATTTACATTATATGCCCTTTAATATTTTATTATGTACTTTATTATCATACATATGCTGAATTTAGCCATGTGTGTCATATGCAGCAACTCAAGTGCCAGGAACAAAGGGATGGCAGCCCCTTCTCCTACATAAATTACCATGTTTAACCCTTTCACCGTCGGTGTTGTATTAGAATGGCTTACAAGCCAGTGTTTGCGCCATATTAATACACCAAAATTCTAGCGGCTTCAAATCTAGCAGGAGAAAGCTGGTAGACCTACATGTGAGAGAATGGGTCTGTGTAGTCAGTGTGCATAGTATAAAAAAAAATCCTGCAGCATGCAGTACATAAGAAAAAAACCTCCGACGGTGTTTTTGGTTTAAAACACCAACTTTGAGGTGTATTTTGGAAGGTATTTATGGTTGTGGTTAGTGTGCGCAATATAAAAAAATCCTGCAGCACACAGTGCATAATGAGAAAAAAAAACTCCGACCATGTTTTTGGTTTAAAATGCTGACTTTGAGGTGTATTTTCATATGGTATTTATGGTTATATTCTTGTTTTCTTGGTGTCATTTGATAGAATGGAAGATATATTACAGAAATAGAGATGATTTTCATTGGTTTCACAATGAAAAGTACCTTGAAATTGAGCTCGAAGTAGTGGAAATGTTCGAGTTTTGCCCATGTTCAAGAGTAAGGAAATGTCATCACTGTCCAATACGTGTCCAACTGGCCAGTCTGATACGCAGACACAAATGGGTTGGCATTATTTATACAATTATTACAATAATGCAGTAGTCACCATAACAGTAAATCTGCTATTTTTTGTGTTAATAAAAATTAAAAATGGAAAGCAAGAGTAATATAAGAGGGGCCTGAAGATGTGACTAATGAACAGAGAAAATGTTATTTTAGTGTCAGGAATGTCTGCTATTTTGAAACTGGCATCTTTTGAAATTTGTGTGAAATTGGCCAAATTGCCAATTTCTGACCACTTTATTAGGTAGTTAAAATTGGTTAATGGGCAGTTTCTTGTACTCAGTCGGTAGACCAAATAGAGTTCTAGCAAAATAGCTATGAGTTTGGTCGACTGGAACAATGAAATTGGCTGAAAATAGGGCTCAAAGTGGGCGAAATCACTGATGCATGTATATTGCCGAGACTGCAAACTTCACAAGAGTGTAATTCCATAAGTTTTCCATCAAATTTTGTGCTTTTGGTGTCATTACTGTTGGAAAAAGATTATCTTATCATTTCACAAGAATTTTTTTTTTTTTTTTTTTTTTTTTTGATAAGTCTTTGACACTGAGAGCAAGTTTGTGAGCAGGAGTCTTGAGAGTTAAAGGGTTAAAAAGAAGAAAAAAGGTACTGAATTTACTATTTACTGCTACCTGCAAAAATGAAAGAGAAGCTGTGGGTCAGGGAAGAAGAGAGAGAAAAAGGTAAAAAGGCCATTTAAAATATTAACCTCTAAACGGCCTAAACGTATATATACGTTCTCTCCCCCAGTGCCCCGAATATTTTGAAAAATAATTTTTTTTTTTTCATTGAAATAAAGAGAAAAAATTTCTAAGTGTTATAGGATTAATATAAAAAATTAGGGTCAGTACTTACCGAGATATGAGGCTGCAAAGTTGGCACTTAATGCTCACCTGATGGCAACATCGAGTCCTGCTGCTTGAGGACGTGTTGCCAATATACCATTTTTTCTCATTTCTATATTATTTTATATAATTTTTATGTTCTGATAATGACAATTTATTGTAGTTCTTGGCATTTCATAACCAATTTTTGTTCTGACACTAATATTAGCTACTGAAATTGTACTCAAATTGTCACAAACACATTGACAGGTGGACATTTACACCTGCCTTGGTCATTTACTATTGTCTAGGAATATATACAAGTATTTATAGGTCCCAGCAATGTTTTGGATACACGGGAGTATAGAGGAAGAAGGAAGTAGGAGGAGGAAGAAGGAAGAAGTATAATTGTACAGTGGACCCCCGCATAACGATCACCTCCGAATGCTACCAATTATGTAAGTGTATTTATGTAAGTGCGTTTGTACGTGTATGTTTGGGGGTCTGAAATGGACTAATCTACTTCACAATATTCCTTATGGGAACAAATTCGGTCAGTACTGGCACCTGAACATACTTCTGGAGTGAAAAAATATCGTTAACCGGGGGTCCACTGTATTTGTGTGTATCTGTGAGACAGAAAAAGAGATAGAGAAAGATAGACAGAGACAGAGATATAGATAGATAGATAGACATACCCTAAACTTGGGGTTAACATCATTTTCCTCTTAAAAGGGGAGTGTTAATATATTACATCAGTGAATCCTTGGTGTTTGCCGCACTGTTTGCTTGAGCTGGCGCTCAGTTTAACTGGCACTCCCACAAGGTACTAAGAGGTACCAGATTTTTTAAATATGGTGCACACCGAGTGTTAAGACCCATTCTTTGCTGACCAGGCATTTCAGGCCAATCGTGCCAAATTTGGAGGCAGGAAAATTAAAACATATACGTTTGGGGCGCTAGTGGTAAGAACGTATATACATGTATATGTTTGGACTGTTTAGGGGATAAATTTGTCCCTACTTTCACCTGCTAACATTCTGTGGTCTCTACACACTTGTGGGTTTCCTGATTTGCAGAATTTGATTATCCAACATTTTTTACCAAGGGAAACCTCTGAATGGATTTGATTATTCTTGGGTTTTCAAGGGTAATGAAAATCTGAAGGAAATTCAAATCTAACTCTGCAGTTCATCTGTTATATATATATCACAATATTTTTTTTTTTATTTTCACTAATTTAACTGTTCAAACGTAGATCTATATTCACACGCCCAGCTCTCCAAATATTTTGAAAAAAAAAAAAAAAATTAAACGAAGAGAACATTTTTTACATAAAGTAATGTAAAAAAAAAAATTCTAGAGTCAGTACTTACCACCACAAAGTCAGCACTTGTCGCTCACCTGACGCTTGTCGCTCACCTGACGCTTGTTGCTCACCTGATAACATGAAGTGCTGCAGATGCATTGCGATATACCTTTTTTCTCATTTGTTTTTATTTGTATAATTTTTATGTTCTGATAATCACAATTTGTAGGAGTTCTTGTGATTTCATAGTTAATCTTTGTTCTGACACTAATAGTAGGTACTGAAATAGTACTCAAATAGTCATAAGCACAGTGACAGGTGAACATTTTCACCTACCTAAGTCACATACTATTGTCTAGAAATATAGACATAGTATTTATAGGTCCCAGCAATGTTTTGGATACATGGAAGTATATAATTAATAATAATAAGTTCCCTTGAAGCATGATGTAAGACATATGTCACTCTCTTATCTTATCACTCTACTGCTGACAGTGGTGACATTTGATGAGCTATCTTATCTTATCTTATCACTCGACTAATGACAGTGGTGACATTTGATGAGCTCACACTGCCTTGCTTTATTTGTTTTCACTGTTACACATAAACATTGTCTGTCTGTCTCTCTGTCTGTTTGTTTGTCTATCTGTCTGTCTAGCTTTCTGTCTCTGTCTGGCTAGCTCTCTGTCTGCCTGCCTGTGTGCCTATCTTTCTGTCTGCCTCTGTGTGTCTTTCTGTCTGCTTGTCTCTCTTGTCTCAGAGAGGTGCTCATGAACCAACTGGTATTACACACGATCACTATCTACAAGCACAGTATAGCACTTTGTCTGCATTTTTTGAGTTATCCTAGGTAATTTACACTATGTATAATTATATTAATGTATGTGTTCCTGTGAGATAGGGACAGAGATAGAGACAAAGAGATAGACAGAGATAGACACAGACAGACAGACAGAGATAGAGACAGCCAATCAACCAGCCACTGGTCAGCCAGGTGGCTGCCAGCTGCCAGCCAGTCAGCCTGCTGAATGCGTATTATATGTTCAAGATAGTTTCTTTTTACTTAGGGCCTAGGTTATAGGACATTCTGGCAAGATGACACTAACAGAGTACCAAACTTGAAAGGGTGTTGCACAAATGTTGCACATGGGTTATTATGGAAGTTTTTGATATTTCCGTGACCACTTGTGGCCACATCCACCTCAAAGCCACTAAATTTGGGGTCAACATCACTTTCCTCTTAAAAGGGGAGTGTTAATACGACATGGCATCAGTGAATCCTTGGTGTTTGCCATGCTGTTTGCTCTAGCTAGTGCCCAATTGAACTGGTGCTCCCACAAGGCACTAAGTGGTCCCAGAATTTTTTTAATACTGCTCACACCGAGGGCTAAGGCCCATTCTATGCTGACCAGGCATCTTAGGCCAATCATGCCAAAGCTTCCACGTGTGGCCTGAGTGCACCTCAGTTGTCCCGTGGGTGCCAGTGTTTACAAGCCAGCCAGTGCGGCTGTATCCACGCATACAATCGGAACATTTCATATTATCACATCATTTTTAGTGATTGTACCTGCAAAATAAGTCACCATGGGCCTCAAGAAAGCTTCTAGTACCAACCCTGTGATAAAAAGGGTGAGAATTAGTATGGAAATTAAGAAAGATTTTGAAGGGTTTGGGGCTAACCCTGAGATGCCTATGCCAGTTGTGGAATCCATTGTGCCTACTTCAAAGATTATGGATGAAAATCACCCTAACACAGCTATTGCAAGCCATGCTGGTGACTATTACAATGACAATGTTGTGGCCCATTTTAGGCAAACCTTAAAGGAATGGGAGGTACAGACCTCTACAGACTGATTTGTTGTGTGACAGAGGTCCAGTGACTCTCAAGCTGGTCCTAGTGGCATTAAAAGAAGAAGGGAAGTAACCCTGGAAAAGGACTTGATACCTCAAGTTCTAATGGAAGGGGATTCCCCTTCTAAACATTAACAACTTCCACACTCTCCCCTTCTCCCATCCCATCAATCATCACCAGATCTTCAATAAAGTGTCAGTTTGTGTGTATTAAAATTAATATTTCATGTGGTAAATTTTTTTTTTTTCATACTTTGGGGTGTCTTGCACGGATTAATTTTATTTCCATTATTTCTCATGGGGAAAATGAATTCAGCTAACGATAATTTCAGCTAACGACGAGCTTTCAGGAACGGATTAATATCGTTAGCTGAGGGTCCACTGTAAGTGTATTTTTGTAAGTGTATTTTTGGGGGTCTGAAACGGACTAATCTAAGTTACATTATTCCTTATGGGAACAAATTCATTCGGTAACGGCACTCAAACAGCTTTCTGGAACGAATTAAGGCCGATATTCAGGGTTCCACTGTATCTGTTATATCACATGTTCAACTCAGCTTGTTTAGAAACTCCATTCAAATCAAAGGCCCTAAAATCTGGAACTCTGTACCAGAAGATGAAAAAAGTTGCTATTTGCCAGCTGCTTCATAAATATTATTAAAAAGCCCCTCCTGAATCCAAGTTAAAATCTACATAGACTTATTATATTAAAATCCAATTTGTTAATAGCAACCTGTTTATCAAAATTAAATCAGCATGCATACCCATGTTCCTACTGTTGCCACTATAACCAGTATTTTACTTCATCTTAGTATTGACTCTTACAGATATGCCAAAGTGATATATAAGATGTTAAAATTTCATATACAGCCTCTCCTCACTTAACGATGGAGTTCCTTTTCTAAGATCGCATCAGTTAACGAATTTGTCACTAAGCAAGGAGCAAACTGTAATGGTAGTGGGTTTGTGTCAACCATCTTTTATATTGTTTTAATGTCACTTTTGCACCATTTATAACATTTTTAGTATATTTTTGAATGTTTATACAGTAGTGTAATGTTTACCATAAATGGAATAGAGGAAATCAGCTCTAATATACGTTATTTAGGTATGCATACTGGTCAGAGAGCCCGTCGTAAGTCCGAGTCATCAGTAAATGAGTACGTAGCTAAGTGAGGAGAGGCTGTTCTGTTATCCATAGCATTCTAATAATGCAACCCATATTGTCCAGCAGTTATTAGCTAAATTTAAGGATGCATAACCAGGCTTTCTGTTCATTCTGTAAAGTATGTCACCTTGTCTTATAACAATTGTATACCGTACTTTATGGGAATAAAGATTTTTGTTTTCATTCCATTTTCATTAATCCATTAAACTGAGAGTTTACCGTATGTATAGTATTACGTTCATGGGGAAGTGCTAAACCCGTTGGGATCATACAGTGCCTGAGGAATGGGTGGTAATCAGGTTTGATCCAAGAATGAAGACTAACTTTAATTCCTTGGATCAGTAGTCCTTCAACAAGGCATCCCCTTCCCTGAAGAAAGTATGTGAATAGTTTTATCCTGGCCCTAATGTGTTACTGCTGTCCATATACGACACCGAAAATCTACTTCCTCCTCCAGTTCTACATCCAAGCTTATGCAGTTTTTGTCAACTTGTACATTTGTATTTTTTATTGGTGTTGCATCTGTATTGTAATTCCTGGGAAAAGAGGGCTTCTCCTGATTTCACTCTCCTCTTACCCCTAATACATTAGTATCACTAATTCTTTGTCCTGTATTCTATGTGATCATCAAAATAGTTGCTCATTCAAGATTCCTGATACGTTTTTTCTGCCTCCCAGCTGTGCAAGGCAAGACATAAGTGAATCCATGTTTGCTTTAAGATCTCTTTTATTATTTGTTCTATCCTTAACACTTTCACTTGTGGCCACCCAAAATAAGAGTCCTGTTAGTGCCACATTTTAAAATAGAGTATCTTCTAAAATGGTAGAGAATGTTTTCTAAAGGTAATGACACAAAAATTGCAAAATTTGATGTAATATTTACAGAATTATGCAACACAAATTTAGAGGTTGGGGACACCTTATGCAACTGTGTTTTCATCCACTTTGAGACCTAGTTTAGGCCAATTCCAGTGCTCAAACTGACTCAGTTCCTGACTGTTTCACTAGTATGCCTTCTGTTCTATTGATTGAGTCAAGAAACTGCCTTTAAACTATTAGACCTATCCTGTAAAGTCCCCAGAAGTTGATACTTTGGCCAATTTTACACAAAATTCAACAGTCCAAAATAAACACTATGCATTCCAGCCACTAAAGCAACCTTTCCTTTGCTCATTAATCATGTTCCCAGACCTCTCCTATATAACACTTCCCATCCATTTCGATTCCATCATCACATAAAGTATTGAAGTTTTACCCTATTTCTCACCTAATAAAATATAAGTAGGAATGATTGATCATAGTCTAGGCCATCCCAATAATTAAAGCAAACCTAATAAAAACCCATAAAACAAACCAGGGGAGAGGAGGTAGGGTAACCCCTAACCTTCCTCCGGAAAATCATCAAAAAATAGATTATTTCTACCTCTTTGAGGCCACTTGCAGTCTGAAAAAACTAAAATTATCTCCATTACATTGTTATGTTTTTTGTCTGTCAATTGGCATTACAAAACAGCCAGCAAAACCTTGAAAACTACCCTAGAAAATGCCTTGAAGTTGCTATTTTAACCCTTTCAGGGTCGAGAGGCCCTCTGCTAAACTCGTTCTCAGGGTCAAAAATTTTTCAGAAAAAAAAAAAAAATTCTTATGAAATGATAGAGAATCTTTTCCCGATCATAATGACACCAAAAGTATGAAATTTGATGGAAAACTTACGGAATTATGCTCTCATGAAGTTAGTGGTCTCAACGATGTTTATGCATCAGTGATTTCGCCCACTTTGAGGCCTATTTTCGGCAAATTTCAGGTTACTAGTCGACAAAAATCATATCTATTTCGCTACAACTCCATTTTTTTTATCGAATGAGTACAAGAAACCACCCATTTACCGATTTCAAGTATCCAATAAAGTGGTCAGAAATTGGCTATTTTGCCAATTTCACACAAATTTCAGAAGATGCCAATTTCTAAATAGGGTCCAGAATAAGCAAGACAGACATTCCTGGCACTAAGAAACCAATCAAAATCATCTCAATTTCTGTAATATGTCTTCTGTTCTATAAAATGAGACCAGGAAAACTAGAATACAACCATAAATACCATATGAAAATATACTGCAAATTCGCTGTTTTAAACCAGAAACATGGTCAGAGTTTTTCCTCATTATGCAGTGTGTGCTGCAGGATTTTTTTTATACTGTGCACACTGACCGCATAGACCCATTCTTTCATATGTAGGCCTACCAGCTCTCACTAGATTTGAAGGCGCTGAAATTTAGGCGTTCTAGTACGTCAAAAACCCTGGTGCGTAAGCCGCACTATTACGTCGGAAACCCTGAAAGGGTTAACCCAAATGCAAGATGAGAGGCTAGCTGCTCCAGTTATGTACTGTGTAGGTCAGGATTTATTTTATAATGCACACATTCACTTCACAGATCCATTATTTCATATCTAGGCCAAATTTTACAGCTCACAGCATAGTTGAGGGCACTATGATTAAGATGTAGATCTATGGAAGTGAGACTGACCCCAGAATTGTAGACCTATGTTAGACAGTGAAAGTGTTAGAAAACAGAATTATCTTTAACACAGATCCGGTAAATATTTTGTTCATTCCTCGTAGTTATTCCCCTTTTTCCTTGCAAAAACTTACATTTTATGTGAGGTACAACATTAAGTGGTTGGAAATGCATGGATTTGGGAAAGGATGCACAGCATGTTTTTTCTTTGCAATAAATGAATGTACAGTTTAGTGGATATATGGTTATATAAGATCTGTTTGTTGGCCTTTGTAAAGCTGGTTGTAAAGGGTGGCTGAACTGCATGGAGCAGGCTGTGATGACTGGCCTACATGGGTAGACTGGGATGGCTAATCTGTATAGACAGGCTGTGAGGGCTGCATGGAGCATCTGTAAGGTACATACCTGCTCTCCTCTCTCTGCTTACTAGTCATTAACCCCTTGACTGTCGCAACCCCTAATCCTGAAGTGTCTCCTGGTGTCGCAAAATTTAAAAAAAAAAAAAATATATATTTTTTCTTATGAAATGATAGAGAATCTTTTCCCGAAGTTAGCGACCTTGGAGATATTTACAAATCGGCGATTTCGCCCACTTTGACCCCTATTTTCGGCTAATTCCATTGTTCCAGTTGCCCAAACTCATAGCTATTTCTTTAGAACTCCATTTTTTCTATCGATTGAGTACAAGAAACTGCCCATTTACCGATTTCAACTACCCAATAACGTGGTCAGAAATTTGCAATTTGGGCAATTTCACGAAAATTAAAAAATATGACAATTTCAAAATACGGTCCAGAATGAACAATGCAGACATTCCTGGCTCTAAAATAACATTTTCTTTGTTCATCAGTCACGTCTCCAAGCCCCTCTGATATTACTCTTGCTTTCTATTTTGAATTTTTATTCAAACAAAAAATAGAAGATTTACTGTTATGCAGACTACTGCAATACTGTAATAATTGTATAAATAACATCAACCCATTCACAACTGCATATTAGAATGGCTAGTTCAACATTTATTGGATAATAACATCATTTGTTTACTTTTGAACATCGGCAAAAATCAAACATTTCCCCTACTTTGAGCTCCATTTCCAGGTTCTTTTTATAGTAAAATCAATCAAAATTACCTCTATTTCTATAATATGTTTTCCATTCTATCAAATGAGACCAAGAAAACTAGAATACAACCATAAATACTATACGAAAATAGACCACAAAGTCGGCATTTTAATTAAAAAAAAACGGTCGGTGTTTTTTTTTTTCTCATGCACTGCATGCTCCAGGATTTTTTTTATATGCTGCACACTGACCACACAGACCCATTCTCTCACATGTGGGCCTACCAGCTTTCTCCTGCTTGATTTGAAGCCGCTAGAATTTATGAGTATATATACGTCTAACACGGTACCTTGTAAGACGTATATATATGACGTCGACGGTCAAAGGGTTAACTGAACACTGTGTTTTGTCTTTTTATTTTGTTTGGTTTCTATTACTTTCAAATAAACACATGCTCTCAGTGAGACCAAGATGCTCATACAGACATTTTCTGGCACTAGTCCCATTCCACTTGTTGCTATGAGGACACTTATTATTTATTCTGCTTTTTAAATTTATAGCACTATTGATTATCATTAGTGTGTTATTTTATTCATGTTTCAGAGAGAAGGTCAATCAAACTGTTTGGCTTGACTTAGCAAAAATGTCTGTGGCATCTTAGTGTCATACCTTCTTCTACAACTGTTGTTGTTCATGTCTTAGACCCATGCATCTGCAACTGTATGCTTCCTGTATTTTTTGTTAAATTTTCTTTGGATCTTCAATCATTTCACTGATGTGGTTATCCTGTTAGCTGCTTTAGTTTTGCACTGTTTTCACTGTGACTGTAGTTTTTGTTTCCAGTTTTAATGGAGGGTACAGTAGAATCCTCCGTATCCGCAGATTTGGTTTCCCCAATTTCAGTTATCCACGGATTACTGCGGCCCAAAAATATTAAGTGGAAAATCCCAGAAATAAACTATTCATAAGATTCAAATTGCGTGCCATTCTAAGTAACATGGAGTAAACATTGGAACCTCTCCAGCAAATGTTTGATGAACTGAAAAGAAAGAAACAGCAAAGTCCTATCACAATGTGTTTCTAAAAGGCTGAAAAATGAACCATGTCCACAATTGACGATCCCCAACCATCAACACTGTAATGTCTTATTGTGTGTAATTTATCAAACAAACTTTCTCATAGGTATGTATGTAAATGAAAAATGACTTCTGTATAGGGTTTGCTAGTATCCACGTTTTCAGGCATCTGCGGTAGGTCTTAGAACGTATCACCCACAGATATGGGGGGATTGCTGTATAATATCTATCCATATGACTTGGTTGGTGAACAAACCGGACTATTCTTAATGAGATTATAGTCGTGTTTTTAAAACTGTTACACATTTGCAAATGTTCAGCTATATTTAATTGAAGGCACACAGTCTGTATCATATGCATCCACACTACATTACTCACACAAGGTGTGGGGATATCTAAATGCCCACATCTTATGATGCCATAGCTAATTTTTTTACAGGGTTAAGAGGCAAGCCAGCAGAAGTGCTCCACTAAGCTGGTAATTGTATGACTCTCATCAAAGTAGCAATTATTTTTATTTCTCCTGACAA